CTTTAAATACCCTTGTTCCACTGTGTGAGAAGCAAAGGAACCTGCTCCTCCCTTGGACCCTTGTCATATGGCCACACACAGGTCCCTCCCATCAGCAGAGAAGTTGAAAACCGTGTTTTCTGATACCATGCATTTGCCCTAAATATCACCATGCTGTGGCCCCTCTGCCTGTCCCAGGCTTCCATCTTCACCTGCTTAACAGAGGGGCTGACAGATCACTGGGGCCAGGAAGCAGACCCTGAATGAGGCCCCATCAGCTCCCAGTCCTACGGGGCAGAGATTTGCACAAAGAAGTCCCTCAAAAAGTGGAATTCTATCACTGGTCTGTGAGCAAGGGAGAGAGTCTCTTTCTGTGGGACTTTCCTGCAGAATGTCAACCCACACCCAAAGTCAGTAGGAACAGAGCATCAGCCCTCGTCCCCACCAGAGCACGGCATCCTGGAGAACCCTGCGGGGGGTGGTGGGGAGGAACAGCCAAGAGCAGTGAGCAAGAAGCTTCTCTCGCAAGGTCCCCACCTCTGCCAGTTCCAGGGGCTCTAGGGCTGGGGACAAGAGAACAAAGCTCATAGGGGAGGCCCAGTCCCTCCTGCTGCCCCGAGCACACACCCCCCCCCCGCCGCCCCCAGTCTGTACCTCTCTCCAAGACCCCTCTGACTTCTCCAATGCTGGGCTCTGGATTGCTGAGGGGAAATCTCAGCCACCTCTCTTTAGGGATCTGTGAGCCGTGGACTCCCTCTTCTGGTGAAGTGTGAGGAGATGGTGCCCAGAGCAGAGGGCCGGGCCTCTGAGGCCGAGGTGAGTGGAGATCCCACATCCTCTGACCCTCCCCTGCTCACCTTCTCTGCACCCGGGGACCCTGCAGTACTTGGCTGGTACAGACTCCTTAAAGATATTTCTTCTTTTCTTTCCTAGCAAAGAAGCAAGGGGCAGCACTGTCTCTTCTCAGGCTCAACGCATTCATAGCTTCACACAAGCCACCAAGGGTCCCCTCCCCAGAAGGCAAAGGCACAACCACCTTAGGACTCCCAAAGACATTGCTCTGCTCGTGAAAGTGTGACAAATAAAATGGAATGTTAAAATAGGATTCGTTCTGTCTCCATTTCTGCTGTGGCCCCAAAGGCCAAGAAGAAAACGGTAGGTGCCAACCACTGGCCAACCAGGTCCCAGTGAAGTGCTGGACACGTGGGCAGGACTACCACAGGGGTGGTCCAAAGTCATTCTTGCAAACCCACTCCCTGGGGAAGAGGGTCCTTGGCTATTAAGCTAAGAAAGGAGTTTTATGAGTCACTTAGAGGGCTTGACTTGGGCAGTCAGAGTGAGAGGGAAAGAACCAGAAGAAAGCTGAGATCAGGTAAAGCCACGCAACAGAGAGGAGAGGAAAAAGGGCAGGGCTGCCCGACTGGGGCAAGGATGCCAGGGTCTGAAGGGTCTACACAGAAGGGGGCTGGCGCACAGTCATTTGACTCTTGCCCCAGCAACAGGGGATGTAATCACAGCCGAGATGTGGACCATGGGATGAATTCCTCATGCAGCCGGCTGGAGGAGACTCGTGGTCCCTTCTGACCAAGGAAGGGACCAGAAGACCCCAAGAATCCAAGAAAACCCCAGCTAAGGAAGAGCCTGCGGGTGAATCCCAGCAAGCACCATGACCGATGCTTTTTGTGTCTGTCAACTAAGAACTTCCTGGCTCGCCAGCCCACCCCTCCAGGAGCCACGGGCTACATGGTGAGTGGGGAAGAAGAAAAGCAGAGCAAGACAGGAAAGAGAGAAGAAGCTGACCCCCTTCCCCAACCTGGCTCAATTCAAGGGGAGGAGGGAAGGAACTTTACCTCTGGATGAAGTTCTGAGTTTTGCTCATTACACTAACATCTGAACTGCATGCGGACAGAGCTACATTGAGATGGTTCTTGTCACTGACAGTGCTTGGAGGATTTATTAACTGGAAGGGATCAGGAAAGTTATGGGACTTGCCAGAGCTTTCAGCCAGGGTTGGAAAACCAAACTAACTCACAGTGTAGGTTTACAGGGAGGGAGAGGTGGGTGGGAATGGGTGGTGGATAAAGTTGTTTCCTTCTTGCCCCCTATAAAGTTCTGAACAGGCAAAAAGTTTTATATGTATCATTGCATTTTATGTGTCTTCAAATAACCCCATGAAGACGGTCGAGTTAGCAGCCCCAAGCTCGAAGATAAAGGAATCGAGGAGCTGTCCCACACTGGGAAGGGGCAGGGTAGGGGTAATCTTGTGTCTACCAGTGACCTGTAGATCTGACTTCCCCAGCTTGCCTCTGAGCAATAACAGAATTCCATGAGAGAATCAGCTGCACTCTTAGCACCTCACCTGGGGTTTGGTATTCATTCTGAATGAAGGCAAAGCCACCCAGCCACGGAATAGAGAAGAGGCATTTTGTAGATATTGACCCAAGATTTGGCCAAACACAAACGGATCAGCCACTCTCAGCTTCTCTTGCCCCACCTCCTACTTTCTGCCCTTTTCCACCACACACTTTCCACTTCTTCCACCAAGACTGTGTAATAGTGGGGGAAAGACTAAATTCCACCAATATCCGTCCTACCCATCTTCCTTCCTACTGTTGGAATCTCCAGAAGCTTACCTAGTGACAAGCTGGCCTAACAGGAGGCTACATTTCCCAGCATCCCTTCGGCTAGGCGTGGCCACGTGAACAAGTACAGACCAATGGGATGTGAGTGGAAACGGCAGCTACTACTTCTAGGTTGTGAACTTAAGACCCCACCACTTTCTTTTTTCCTATTGTCTCTCTGAGCATGAACATGGATGTGGGGGCCATGAACCAATTTCAATCACTACCCCAGCCTGGTGGTTCCCAACCTTGTCTGGACATGGGAATCATCTGGGAAAGTTTCTTTAAAAATCTTGATGCCAAGGCTCCACCTCCAGAGACTCTGACTTGATTGGACTGGGTGTGGCCTGAGCATCGAGATCTTTCAAGGTTCCAGCAGATTCTAATATCCAGACAAGGTGAATAAGCCATGCCAGTGACTAGGGGTTGGGTGGAGCCCTTAGATTTCCTCTCTTCCCTGGAATCTGCTCACCATAGTCTGCCTACCGCCTTTGGGCAGTTATGTGACAGAGTCAAAAACTCCTTCATGTTTGAACCCCTTCCTTCCTTCTGGGGTCTCTTTGTTACTGCCCTTGAGTCTGGACCTCACCTAATCCAATCAGCAAATCCTGTAGCCTCCAGTAGTTGATGCTGAAGATCCAGGTGGGCTTGGTTTCTCTTTAGGACCCTGGGGGCTTAAGGAGTGGAAACCCATTGCTATAGGGTGCAAGTCTGGGCACAGATCCAGCCCATTCTGTGTACTCTCTGCAAGAAAATTTCCTTACCCCTGAATGAGTGACTCTTGAGCCCCAAGGAGTGGGTTCCATAGAATGTAAAATGATAGGCTCTTTCAGTATAAAATCATCTGGGTCTCCCTGCATGGTTGGCAAGTCCTGGTTTTGGCCGTGCACCTAGCCACCATTCATCTCTAGAAGTATCAGGACAGATGACTCAGTAGCTGCAGGATTTATGGGCTCAATAAGGTAAGTTGTCCAACGTTCAAAGCAAGTGAGGGGCTTTGATCTACTAATTGAAATCTGATGAAGCTGGGGATTAGGGGGACGGGCATGATGAGTGGTTTGGCAACCCATTCGAATTTTTTTTTCCTGTGAGAACTTCCCATGCAACTTTTAAGAAATGTTTTTGTTTTGTTGTTTTGTTTTTCTTTTCTGTTTGTTTTGTTTTTCTTACCATGTAGCCCTTAATCTCAACCCACTGTTTAATCCAATCATAATCCCAGCAAGACCCCTTCATCTAATACTTCAGGGCTCTGAGCAGAAACCAATGACAAGGGGCACATGGCCAGCAACACAAGGCCTAACCTGTAATCTCTATTCTAGGATTTCTCAGCAAGGGCACCTGATATTTTGGACAAGATCATCTTTTGTTTGTGGCTGGGTAGGGGACTATCCTGTGCTTTGTGGAACTTTAGCAGCATCCTTGCCCTCTACCTACTGGATGCCGGTAGCATTTCCCGCACCGGTCTTAACACCCAAAAACATCTCAAGACACTGCTCAGTGTCCGCTAGGGGCAAAGCTGTCCCTGGTTGAGAACAACTGATCAAGACGAATTCCAGGAGGCCAGGAGTCTTACCCACAGCTGCAACCCCAGGGCCTAGCACAGGGCGTGGCACATAGTAGGTGCTCAACAAATACTTGTGGAATAACGACTAGGAGAAGAGGGTGGGGGCACCACCTCCAGGGGAGCCTACTGGGTTACATGCAGCCTACAGGAACATGTGTGCTCAGGTCCCCTGCCGCAGGGAGCATAGGGACCGAGGGCCACCAGTGTGTCTGTGCCAGGGCCAAGCATCTCCCCAGGGGTCACCAGCCAGTGACCTTGCATGTGGAGATCTTAAGGCAGAACCATTCCTGCCAGACACAGGACCCCTCCAATGTGACTTTGCCTCAGGGACACCCCAGTGGTGTGGCCAAAACTTTCTTGGAACTGCACTGCCATCTGAGACTCTCCCTACCTGCTCCTCCTTCCCCAGAGGCCAGCCCTGCACATGGTCCAGAGGCCCTCACCCTCTTCTTCTTCAGCTCCCGCTCTTTATCCTTCATAGGTGTTTCCCCCAAAAAATCCCTTGCCCATCTACTCCCCTCTTGTTTCTACTTCTTGGTGGATCTGAACAACACACCTGGCATTCTAGAAAGATGCTTTTCCCCAACACCTCCTTCCTGAATGGTGCCATACTATGGGGAGCTCCATTGATAAAAGTGACATGTAGAAACCAATTTAGACAGGGAGGGAGTTCTTAGAAGTGACTCAGTGTCCCTTTGTCCCTAAAACCAAAGAAGAAATGAGTTTAACACATAAACTCGTAAGTAACAGCTCCTAACTAATAAAACCAGGCACACACTAACATTCCAATCCAAAAGACTCTTACAAGTTAACCTTTTATCGGTTTTAAGGCAGCAAGTAAAGTTGTCTGGTCCACATGCCTTTCTTCTGCCCAAGGGAGGGAAGGTCAGGGGGAAGGGTAGGAACTGGCCATCAGGACCCCAGCCAGTGCACACCTCCCCATAATCCATCCCATCTTGTCTCTCTGGCCCCCAAATGTGATCGTAATGGACTCTGGTTCGAGAGCAGGCATGCCCACGGCCCCCTCTGGCAGGGTCTGCCAGGAGCGTCTTCTTCGTCCAGGGCCCCCGGCTCAGGTAGCTTTCGCCTCGGCCAGGCTCTCCCAGGGGCAGATGACCTCCTTTTCTATGGCCTGGTCACCCGCGTCTCCTGCCCCAGCGTCCTCTGAGTCCATCAGGCAGGTTCCACTCTGCGTAGGCACATCCATTTTGATCTGGAAAAAGCTTCAGGCACAAAAGGAAAGCAAGTGCATAGGGACAGGAAGGACACCAAATCCTCACCTTACCCTGACATCCCCAGAGAAGGGTGACTCGCAGGTGTATTTGCCAAAAGCTTTGTGCGCAGCAAATGGTTCGGTGGATCTCTGTAACTGGCGGTAGCAAGGGACTCATATTTTTCTGCTGAATTAAGGCGGAGTCAAAAGACGCTTTATCTTCATTTTTGAGGGGCCTGAATTTTTATGGTTTTGGTGAGTTCAGGATGTCCCTTTAGGACAAGCCTGCGCTTAATCCTCAATCTAGTTAGACTGCCTTCTGATGAAGAGGTAGCCCCTCAGCCAAGAGCCTCTTAAAAGCCCCAAGCCCATGTATGGGGCATGGCAGTGGCCGCGAAGCTAGAACATTCCCTGAGCAGGGTTAGTTGGGAAGAATCGATAGACAGGCTCACCCTCTGATCCCCACCCGCCTTCCTCCTGCCCCGACTGACAGAGGCAGCAGAGAAGTAATCACCTCTGCCCCCTGCTGTCCCCCAAGCACACTGCGAGGCAGAGGCGGGGGAATACTCAGGTATCCATGGCAACCTGAGATCTCTGCAGGGAGCGTTCCTTTCTCGCACCAGGCAAGGCCAAACACAGGAGTAGTTTGCTTGGTGCAGGGATACTCCTGACTGTCTCCCCAAAACCAAATAAAGGTGGGGGCTGGTTCTCTGTTTTGCATTGTCTACAACTTTCCTTTCTTCCACTGGTCTGGGAGCTATCGAGCACCCCTCAGAGTGTTCTGCACCGGGTAAGGTGCCTCAGGGCACTTGGGGTTCTCAGAAATCAGGCTTGTGGCACCACCCAAAATGGAGTCGAGAGGGCCACCTGTCGGAAGAGATTGGGTACTGTGGTTTTCACAGGAACGACTGTGGAAGCAGGGGTCCCTGCAAGCCCCTCTGGGAGTCTGCAGGTGAATGCAGGGGTGGGGGTGGCGAGGCGAGGTGAGGGCACCTCAGACAGGGAGGGGACTGGAGCCCCCACCCCCTGTGGTTCCCATGGCCGCCACTGAGCCTTCCTGCCCTTTAAAGGCGCAATGGGTTCATTAGACTAACATTCAGGGGATGAGGCAGGGTGGGGGCGGCACAGAAGGAGGAACAAGATGGAAAAGAAAGACACAGGTTCCTTTTCTTTCTCAGGAAGCAGGGGGGGACAACACCGAGTTTCTGGAAACTATCCAGAGGCTGAGTAGCCTGCTTTCGTGTCTGCTAGCCTAGAATCCTCATTACCCAACCCACCAGCCCCCAGTTCCAGACCATGTTCAAGCCACACAGCCCCGGTACCCACCACAGACATACATGCACACACATGCACACTCATGTGCCCACCGATATGTGTGCACACACGCACACTCACACAGAGAAACATGCATGCACACACACATACACATACAGGCAAATGTGCAAAGGTGCACACGTACACACAGGCATATGTGCACACATGCATGCTCACACAGAAACGTGTGTGCACACCCACAGACATGTGCACACATGCATGCACACACACAGCACAATCCCTTCTGCTTCTTACTTCGCTACTCGCCTGGATTTCAGTCGTGGCAGCTGCTGGCCCGCATCCCCCAGGGGCTGCACCTTCCCGTGGGACACAGGGGGGCACTTGGGTGAGAGCCTGGCAAAGACGGGGGAAGCTAAACAGCCCCGTCTCAGAAACCTGCTGAAGGACAGAGCCATGCGGGCCTTGGGCGGGGACTTGGGCTGGGGCCGGGGCCAGGGGTGCTCGGCGGCTGAGGCCTCGCTCCTGTCAGTGTCGGAGGGCCCGGGGCAGGCACTGGATCCGCTGGCCTCCCCCTTCTGCTCAGAGCTCTCCAAGGCCACCCTAATGGGCGAGGGGCAGATGGCGCTGCTGGGCCTCCGGATGAAGCGGCCCGGTGAGGGGAAGGGCCTCCTGGGGGAGCGGCAGGATGGGGAGAAGGGGCTGGAAGGAGAAGGGGGCACGCAGGTCCCGGTGTACACGGCCAGGTGAGGACTGGGAGCAGTGTGCTGGCCCGGCTGCAGGGAAGGAAAGAGAGAGCTCAGAGTGAGTGGCGTGGGCTGATGGACGGGGGCCCTCTGCTAACTTAGCCCCTTTCCGGTGCCCGGAGCTGGGCAGTTGCATCCCAGACTGACCTTCCTCTGGGCCTGGAGTGCTGTGGCATGGCCAGCTGGATTTCCAATTGCCCCTCAACTCCCATCCCCCAGCGAACGATGCTTAGTACCCACTACATGCCATGTCATCCCTCCTCCATCCCTGGTTCCCAGACTGAGGACTGGAGGCATCTAGACACGTGTAACAGAGCAGTGGACGTGATACCAGAAGACCCACGTGTGCCCCACTGACTCTGCCAGGCTTGAGACCACCCACCTGGTCCTGAGCCCCGGCCCATGTCCCACTGGCCATCCCTTGGGGATGGCCCAGCCCTGGCACTGGCCCGTGCCTCCTGCAGCAGAGCAGGGTGGCCGGAAAGAAAGGCTGAGTGTGGAGCCTGGACATGTCAGCAGAAAAGGGAAAGACTCTCAACCTCCCTGGGCTCCCGCGGCCCCAGAGTCAGGGAGCAGGGGGGCAGGAATCCTGGGCCAGGCAGTTTTCTTGCAAAGACGCCCAAGAGAGCTTTGTCTGAGCTGACAAAGTTAAAACTGGAATTTTCAGGGAGGCTCTCTGCTGTCCCTTTCCTCCACAGATGGGCCTCCAAGGGGCCATCAGCCCAGTTTGTCAGGCCCCCTCCTGAAGGCCGGCTGTGGCCTCGCACCACACCGAAACCCAGCTAGAGGGTGTGCTGGTCCTGGCGGGGAAGGGGCACCCTCTGGCACAGTTGGGGCGACACTGCCTCTGACGTCAGTGAACAACAAACCCTCTTGGAACCTGGCACGGCCACGCAGACGCCCGGCTTAGAGAAGCCTGCCTGCCCCTGGGGCCGGAGCACTGCCCCAGGGCCCCAGGAGGGCAGCTCCAGTCGCTGAGCTGGAGGCTGCTGGCTTCCTTGGGGCGTGGCCTGATTTCCAGGTCACCTGAGTGAGCCGATCCCAACCTGAAGAGGAAAGGGCAGGCATAGCCAAGGACAGTTTTTGAAGGAAAAGAAAAGCCAGGAGGCCACAGAAGTCTTTGCCACGGGGAGGGGCAGGGGGACGGTCTCCATTCTCCCCCACCAGCTCCCCGAAGCTCCAGCTCCATTCCATCCTGAAACAGCAGCTGGGAGTCGCTGATTCTGTTCCTCTGCTCCGACACCCACAGGCCAACCAACCAGAGCCAAGGCCCAGACCTGGGGCCCCAGGGCAAACAGACTCATCATAACTGGCATTGTTCATATGCAGTGAGAATTAGCAAATACGAGGTTCTGGGCTGAGCACTTTTCATGGATCATTGCACTTCCTTCCCGGAGCCACTCGGTGAGGTGACCAACTCTCATTATGCCCATTTTACAGATGAGAAAACTAATGCTTCAAAAAGCGAGCCCCAAGGACAGGCCACTGGGGACGGTGGGGCAGGCTTGGAAACCAGGCTCGTGGGCTGCAGAGTTCACACGTGTAACAACGAGTCGCACGTCCCAAGGGGGGCCTGCATATTAGCCCACCTCAGAATCACCCCGGGTGTCTGCTGCAAGTGCAGATCCCAGCCCCAGCCAGACCCACTGAAGGAGACTCTCAGGGGGTACAAGTGAGGGAAAGCATCTTCTACCAGACACCCGAGGTCACGGTTTTGTTATCATGCCCAGTGAGTTTGAGGAGCCCTGCACTGTGCTTCTGACTCTGTCCTTCTATGGGGACAGGGGTCTCCACCCAGGACACAGTTTGCAGACAAGAATAACAATAAAGGGGAGGGGCGTCTGGGTGGCACATTCGGGTCCAACTCCTGGTTTCCTCTCAGGCTGTGGTCCCAGGGTCCTGGGATCGAGCCCCGCATGGGGCTCCCTGCTCGGTGGGGAGTCTGCTTCTCCCTCTGCCTCTGCCCCTCCCCCTGCTCACATACTCTCTCACTCACTCTCTAAAATAAATAAATTTTTTTTTAAAAAAAGAATAACAACAAAGGGGAAAGCTTGCTCTAATTAAGGGTTCAGGAGACAACGGTTAGGGGAAAAGAGTATGACCCTGTCACTTATTAAGCACCTACTATGTGCTAGGTAATCTATGTATCTATAACTCCCCCATTTTAGAGAACAGAAATTTGAGGCCCAGAGTGGTTCATCACCCTCCCGAGGCTCTCACAACCACCAGGGGCTGTGGTATGTAGACTGCTACGTGGCCCCTACATTCTGCCCCTGTCTGCCAGGGTTGGTGTGAACTGTAAATGTCACATGACAGCCATTCCGTGGCCAGGCTACGTGCCATGGCATAGGTGACGTTAACAAAGGGTCATTTGAGCAAGCCTGACCTCATCACATGAACCCTTCAGATCTGAGTCTAGAGGCCAGAGACAGACGTCAGAGAGGTTGGAAGCACAGCAGGAATTCAACAAAGGAGAAATTCTCCGTTACTGGCTTTGAAAGTGGAAGGCGGACACCTGGAGAGGGATTAGGGAAGCTTCTAGGAGCTGAGTACAGCCGTCAGCTAACAGTCAGCAAAACAAACAAAAAAAAAAAAACAAAAAAAAAACGGGGGCCTTCAATCCTACAATGAGACACTGAATCTCACCAACAATCTCAATGAGTCTGGAACAGACTCTTCCCAAGAACCCCCAGATAGGAACATGACAGCCAAGCATGACCTTGAGTGTGAGACCATGAGCAGAGGACCCAGCCCAGCCTCACTTGGCAAACTATGAGCCGATAAACAGCTGGGTCCGTCCTACTTTGTTACACAGCAATTGATAACTAACACAGCAACTAAATGAGAACTCGATCCCAGGAGTGTGTAACCCCAGAACCCCTGCTCTGTCTACTGATCCATACAGCCATCCCATTGCCTGTGGGACTCAGATAGGACCTGGGGTCCTGCAGAGTGGGCTGAAACACCAAAACTAGGAGACAGACTTGTTAAGAGAGATAGAGTGGCAATAAATTGAGAACACCCCACCTCCGGTTCATTACCTTGAATCCCACTTTCTCAGAATCTGTGATGAACTCGTTATCACCCCCATTTTACAGATAAGAAAACTGAGGCTCGTGGAGATGACAACTTGACCAAGATCATACAGTTTATGACAGGCCATTCCGTTTACCTCCCTGCACCCCAAGTCTGTGCCCTCCTCCTCATTCTACACCTCCCTCAGCACTTTATTTTCCTGGATGAATGACAGGACAGGTGAGGATGTAGTCACTGTCCTGCTTGACTTACCTGGCCCGAGAAGGTCCTTTCTTCTGGGCAAGTAGTTATTAGCCCCATTGGCCCCGGCCGCTTGAAGTGGGACACCTTTTTGAGCCCATCCCACCATGACTCCGGCCCTTCCCACAGGGACCTAGCCCCGCCCCTCCAGCCCAAGCCACACCCACCACGGGTGGGAGGCAGCAAAGCAGCGGCATGCAAGGCACGTGGCAAAGAAACGTGACACGCAGAAACACAGTGAAGCTCTGAGAGTTCGGTTTGTTTTATCTTGTGCTGCTGTTTTATTATGCAAGGAGCCAGCAGAAGAGGGAGAGGAGCATGAAATGGAGTGGGTACATTGACACGAGAACACGATCACAGGCTTTTCGATGGAAGGCAAAGCAGGCGGTGCAAAGAGATGCGATTCATTTTCTGCCTAGAAACTGGCTGAGAATTTGAGGGAGACCTCGTGGCCACCTGGGCTCCCGCGTCCTGTGAGCCACACTCAGGTTCAGCATGCAGTGTTCGCAGCGCCCCCTCTGGTCCCTCCTTGCTCTCCCTTTCCCCACTGCCTCCAAAAGCCAATAAGCAAAGTGGGCTCCCTGGAGAAAAATCCACAAGTGTGAACACATCATTCTTCCTACCATCTCGTTTGGCACAGCCCAGCACAAGACCTTCTCTTACTGTAGCCATGGAGCTTGGAACCAAAGGACGGACCAGTAACCACACTGTTGCTGGTCAACCCTTCATAGACAGAGGACATGACATCAGTGCCCACTCTCCTCCCTTCAAATATCTCCTAATGGCCGCTGGAGAGCGGGGAGAGCCACACTGCAAGACTCTGAGAGAGGAGAGAAGTAAAATGGTTTAGGGAAACGAAGCTGTAAACACACCTCAGGAAATGCCCTAAATAACAAAGAATAATGAAGCACTGTACGGGACCGCACTGACAGATGCAAGAAAGCCCAAGCTTACTCTGAGACCATATGCTACTAGGGATGGTGATGGTGGGATAGTGGTGATGATGATGGTGATGGTGAGACAGTGGTGATGGTGATGGTGGTGATGATGATGGTGGTGATGGTGGTGATGGTGGTGATAGTGGGGATGATGATGATGGTGAGAATGGTGATCGTGATGGTGGTGATGATGATGGTGAGAATGGTGATGGTGATGGTGGTGATGATGGTGGTGATGATGATGATGGTGAGAGTGGTGATGGTGATGATGGTGATGGTGGTGATGATGATGATGGTGAGAATGGTGATGGTGGTGATGGTGGTGATGATGATGGTGAGAGTGGTGATGGGTGATGGTGGTGATGATGGTGATGGTGGTGATGGTGATGGTGAGAATGGTGATGGTGGTGATGATGGTGATAGTGGTGATGAAGGTGGTGATGATGGTGATGGTTATGGTGGTGATGCCATGGTGATAGTGGTGATGGTGATGGTGGTGATGATGATGATGGTGATAGTGGTGATGGTGGTGATGATGATGGTTGTGGTGGTGATGGTGATGGTGATGGTGGTGGTGATGGTGATGGTGGTGATGATGATGATGATGGTTATGGTGGTGACAATGGTGGTGATGATGGGGGTAGTGGTGGTGGTGATGATGCTTATGGTGATGATAATGGTGGTGGTTTTGTGGCAGTGGTGATGGTGATGATGGTGGTGGTGATGACAGTGATGTGAGGAGGAGGATGGTGAGGATGATGATCGTGACGGTGATAATGGTTGTGATACTGATAATAGCAGCTAGCATTTACTGAGCTCTTATTATATGCCAGGCATTATCCGATGTATCCTACCTATTGTCCCTAGCCATTGTATTACCACAACCCTCACAAGAAGAACAGTCCTCTCTCTAAAAACCAAGCTTGAAAATGCAATTCTACAAAGGAAATCCTGGTACTTTACCCCATAGTTTATATTCTAGCATAAGATATACACCACCATGGGTAGAGAAACTCAAGCTATTTAAAATATGGCATTAAGGAATTAAGATGGTACCTAAGTACACAGATAACATAGAATATCAATCATTTAAATATATCAATAATAGTGTCCAAACAAATACTATTTTTGAGGCTATTTGAGATTCGAACAGACCTCCTGGGGCTGCTGTTATGTCTGCCAACAAAAACAAAGTTAGCAGGAGAGCCGCTATCTGCTGGAGCCCAGCAGCAGACACTCTTAGGAAGCCTCTCAAAACTGGGCAGGGCCCCGTGGCTCCTTTACTACCAAACACGAGAACGTCCTGGTGGAGTTCCCCCCCCCCCCCAGTCCTCCAGGCCAGACAGACGATCCTCTTCCATCTCTGTTCTCTCCTGGGGTGTGGTATGCCACCCCAGCCTTGATCCCATTCTGCTTCAGCTGCAGCCATCTGTATCCATACACCCTTGTGAGCCCCTCAAGGGCGGAGAACCTCTCGTCCATTTTTGTATCTGCCATAGGACCCTTCGCTGGTTCTTACATAGAATAGGTGTTTAGGAAACACTCGTGGGATGGAACTGTTGCCATCCAGGAGTGAAGCCCTTTATCTCCTGCCTTCCTTCAGATGGGCAGTATCACAATACTTATTTACACATTTATCCCATAAGCATGATAAGCAACTTTAGTTACGTGCCTGTGTCTCTCATTAGACGGTGGGATCATTGTGTGTCTGACACTGAGAAGGTTTCCATTGATATGTGTGGTGTCCCTACCATGTGCCTGATACAGAGCCCTTGGCAGTCGGCTGGAGGATGGGAGACCTGTCAGGCAGACACATCTCACGTGTGGGGAGTGGGATGGCAGATGGTTGAGTCAAAGGTGAACACGCCATAGTTTGTAACGTGAAAAATTCACGATGCATTTGACACCCCACCATCCCCACCACCGTTGTGCCGGGCATGTGATCTCAGCCCCTGGGGGGTAACTAGAAGGGGTAGTGGATATATAGCTCTGGTTTCATGTTTCTCCAGCTTCCCCAAGAAAGTAGGACAAACAGCAGGAGAGCCGGGTAAACATCCTCCCCCAGGAGTCTGAGGGCAAAGCTTAAACCTGCCACAGCCAAGCATGAAATGCCACTGATGTCTCAATTTTTATCTTAAAAAATTAATGTCCATGTTGCATTCTAATTCATAATATATTCATGATTATTTTAATGCAAAAATTGAAAATTACCTGTTTCATCCCATTCCAAATCCTCAAGTAAAATGGAGGCCCCAGGCTGGGTACCTTCCTGGAACTCACAAAGTCTGTTTCAAGAAGCAAGAATCCGGTCCCAACCCCTCACTTCACGAATCAGGAAGCAGAGACAGTAAGTGACTTTTTCAAGACCACATGGCTAGTGGTAGAACCAGAGATCGAGAGGCCGTCTCCAAACGCACAGCTCTTTCCCTTCCTTCCTCCCTCCCTTCCTTCCTTCCTTCCTCCATTCATTCACGTAAGACATGTTTCTGCAGAACCCGGCAGGCCTCAGGCATTAGGCTCCAAGCGATGAGACATGGCCCCGCCTGATGTCACTCAATATACAATGGCCATTAACTAAAATTTCTGCTTGGGGTGCCCTCCCTGAGTTGGAGGACTCTGACATTCTTCAAAAGAGAGATGACCAAAGCATACCTCTGGTTGCCCTTCCAGAGTGTAAGCTAGTCTACAACTAGGGAAAACGGAGAGAGTAAATGGGATCATTTTGCTAACACAAAACCAAGAGCCACAAACTCCTTATGATGACCTAAAAAGTCTCTGATGACCTGGCCTTGCCCACTTGCCCACTATAAGCTCATGCTGAACCATTTCTCCTGCGCTCCATTCGCCTGGCCCTACAGTTCACTCGAAGCTGCTTCCCCCCAGTGGGATTTTACACCTGCGGTCCCTTCTGCCTGGGAAGCTCTCCCTGCCTGCCCACACGCTTTGTATGGCCCACTTTTTCTCACCCTCTTTTCTGTCACTGCCTAAGAGAGGCCTCCCTAGTGGACGCAACGCCCCCCTTGCTTATCATGGCACCATCTCCATTTCCTTTCTAACACCTGCTACGGGTTTTATCACATCTTTGGGTTGTCGATTACAACGATGGCCCTGATTCTTCATCCCTTCCTCTTGCCACATCTTTTGCAACAAGACTTTAAAATTTCTCTCACTAAGGAGACAGAGTCTATTTCCTCACCGCTTGATTCTAGGCTGGCTTTGTAAACTTGATTTGGCCAAGAACATGAGGTAGAAGACCACGCACTGGTTTAAAGCCTACACCTCAAGACCCTTACGCATTTCCACTCACTCCTCTGCAATTCCACCACCACCATAGATCATGCTGAGGCCAGGCTGTTGGAGGACAGGAGACATGAGAAGCAGAGAAGAATCATTCCCCTCATCCCAGCTCAGGTTCCCACAGACCAAGCCCCCAGGCAGGTCACCTCCAAGATCAACAGAGCCACACAGATGACCCTAAACCCATGAACAATGAATACTGATCATTGTATGCCGCTCTAGCTTTGTGGTTGTCAGCAAAGGTACTGATATGGTCGGCTTCATTATTGTTTGTCAGTCCTGGTCTATAAGCTCCATGAGACGGAGACCATGTCCATTGTGTTCCCAATGCCTGGTGCATAGTGGATTCTCAGTATATGTGTCTTTTTGCTGTGCAGTGTTGGTCCCTTGCTCGCTGACTTGTTCTAGCTCCTTTGTGTTCTTAATGAGGTGAGGCTAACTTCAAAAATTATCTTGTCCTCCCAAGGTCAGAGTGGGAACTGTCCTCTCCCTCCACCCTGACCACAGGGCTGACCTAGGCTACAGCTACACAGGAGGGACGCACCGACATCTAGAAAATATCCGAAAGAGTATTATCTTTGACCCTAACTCATCTTGAAAAGGTCCCAATATCTACCCTCTCTCTTCCCATGAATGAAGACATCAGTGCCTTTCCTTTATCCAGACTGATGCTCCTCAGAAGGTCACTTCCCCTTGACTGCTCTGGAGGCTTCCGGCCTGAGTTCTTCATCCCTACCAGCTACATATTCCCCTAGCAGGTATCAGGGGATGGGGACACAAAAGGGAAGGACCCTCCATAACTGTGACCAAGAACAAGCTCACCAGCAACGTCTTAGCAGGGCCTCTCCATGAAGATATAACAGGGGAGTCCAGGGGATGTGCATCTCTAGGGGACCCTGCAGCTAGTCCCTCGGAGGGATCCCAGACTGCTTTAGAAGCAGAGTCTCAATTGGAGAGGTGGCGTTTGGAGCTTCATTAAGCTATCTGAAACCGATGTACCTGAAAGAACGATGACTTGAGGGAGGAGGGGGGCCTTCTCGTTCATTCTCCAAAGCAAATGGTGGTACACAAAGCAGACTGTTTTCTCTATGCTCCCACTACAAGATCCCCCACAGTGAGACAGGCAGTCACACAGCAACTGAGTCAGGTGACCTCCCCCCACCACTGCTGACCCTGTCGCTTGGTGAGCTGGAGCAGGAGAAAGAGCTCTAGTTGCCGAGGCATTGGGAAATCCACCGTGAAGGAGGTCAGGGGAATATGGGATGAACCTGGTTGCCCCACTAACGGGAAATCGCATCCTCTAGACTCCGACAGACTGCCTTTCTTTGCTCGCCTCTCCCAAATGCACACCCCCACCCCCAGGAACTGCAGATTTATTTAGGAGGTAGTTCTCTTTTGAGTTGGCTCCTACGGTCCAGCTTGCTCATGACCTGGGTGATGTCCACTGTGTTGGCAGCTTCTCGAGCCTTGGCTTCTTCTTCCAGCTGCCTCAGGATGACGGGACTCGGGCTGGAGCGCAGGTGGCGCCGCATAAACGGGAGGCTGGAGCTGGAAGGAAGGACAGGGCTGCGGTTGGTGGAAAGCCGCCCAGCTCACCCAACGGAACACAGTAGCCCCTAGGGGGACATGGAGCTGCAGGACCAGAATCTGGGCTTGTTCCCTCATTTTCCTGGTGAGCCCCAAGGGCGGGGAGACCTCAGGGGCGTGTTCAACCTTAGCTCTTTCTCCTCCTTTTAAGGATGGACCAGATGAGTACCAGCTGCCATCACATTTCTGGCTAGGCCCAAGGAGGACTGCCTGTGGTGGCGATAACATACACTCTAGAATGTTTAGAAATCAATGTGTCTGCTTAACCTCCTGTGGGCTCTTCCTGAAAGAAAGGGATAAGGGGAGTTTGATATTGGAAGCCCAAGGGTTCTGGCCTCAGAGGGAGCTGGAGCATTTGTTTTCAAAAGCCAAAGATCTGGGAAGGAGGGAGAGAGCTGGGCTGTCCAAGAGGGCAAGGCGGGGCCCACAGAGAAAGGGGGAAGAGCCCTGGAGAGGGCTGGGGGGCTGGTGGTGCTGGGTGCATGCACCGGTTGAGTCAGAACCTCGAAAGAAGTCAAACATGGGCTCTTGGGACCCAACTCTGTCCACCACAGCCTTGAGCACCAAGACAAAGCTCTGGGTGTCTGAGTGATGCAGGCAATGGGGAGCAGCTGAGCCACCCACGTGCCTGGAAAACAAGCATTTCAGCAGCAATGGTGGACTTAAAACCTAGAACCTCCCCAAAGCCCTGGACTACAAAAGCCCAGAGAATTCTTGTATCTACCCTAGGGAAGAAGAAGAAGAAGAGGGCTCCCCTACCAGTAAATCAGTCCTGAACTTGGGTCTCCCACCAGCCCTGCCAAGGGGGAGCTTGGAGCTCAATTTAACTTGTTCTAGAGAAATTAAGGTTCACATGTTGCCTGCCACCCTCGAGCCTTGGGACAAACTCACACCCAATGCAATCCCCACATATTTACAGGCTGAGCTTCCCTTAGTAGGAGAGCATTCGCACATGTCTTCTTACTCGCAGGGACATTCTCAGACCACAGTTCCCCAACCAAAGCCAAGTGGTGCAGCTGGGGCCTCTTGCCAGGCACCTGGGGTGCTCCAGAAAAGATCCCAGCTGATTTCTCAGGTCGGCCCCAACTGAGAAAATATCTGGAGAGAGAAATACAAGACTCTCCTTCCTTCCCTACTACTTTCTGGCAGAACTTCTGGAGCGCTTATGCCCCTTTCTTGTGGCTTAAAGGAGAAGCTTTCAAGCTCCCAGGGATGCTGAACTCCCTTCCTTCCCTGGTAAACCTAGAAGAAGAATAGCACCACAGAGACCTCCTTTCTCTCCTTTTTATAACAGTGCCTTTATCCTCAAGAATGAAACCAAGTTGGGTTTGTTTTTGTTTTTTTTTAAGCTCCTCTGATAAAAGCTCTGGTTCAATCACCCCTCTTTTGAATTGACTGGTGATGCTGGAAGAGGGCCCAGTGTGAGCTGAGCCGGCAAACGGGAACATTTACTAACTATGGGGGGACAGGCCACGCGCTGGCGCTGGAAGAACCTCCACCAAAGTCCCATGTCTTTGTTCAAGCTGTCATTTGGTTCCTCTTTGGAATCCTCAGTCCCTACAGAGTTTTCTTTTTCCTCCCCAGAAAAGAGTTCCGACTGCCCCTCAGAACATTTCATCCTTTGCCCATGGGTTCGGCCAGCTGGAATGACCCATATCTCCAGTGAGGAAGGTGAGCACGAGCCAGTTTACAGGGCACTCGCCAAAAGGTAGTCCCTGGCGTCAACAAGGACACTCAGGATGTCAGTGTTCATCTCCCCCATGAGTTGGCCGTTTTTCTTGGGGGTGGAGTCTGCTATGCTCTCTAAGGTCTTAGGACTTTCCAAGGATACAAGGATGTGGCTAACTTAATTTCCACAAAGCAGTTCCAAGGTGAGGAATTGTAGCAATTAACAAACCAGTGAGATGCTTCTGTTTGCGCTGGGGTCAGGATTGGTGGGAAAATCAGCACTTTTTCAAACCCGTGTCAGGGTCACAAAACTTTACTCACAGTAATTACTAAGGAAATCTTCCTAGGGTTTTATGAAGCCAACAAGGCAATCCTACCCCTAAGAAAACCTTCCCAGTCCCCAGTATTTCCATCAGGCACACATCTCCATCATGGCCATTTGGCTGAAAAAGACCCTCCCTTCCCTGCAAACAAAGCGGCAGGCAACCAGCAAATTATAGGTCTCTCCACTTGCCTTCTCTTGGTGGTTCCCTGAGGTTCAATAGCTTTGGCCAGCATTTCCTTATAGATTGGAGATTTTAAGTAGCGAGCATAAGAATCCTAGGGGGAACAAGAGAGAAATGGTAATTAAGAGAGGGGAAGTGTCAAGTCAAACTACTGTGCTTGCAGTTTTCAAGTCCTCCCTGGGCACCGAGATGGCAACGTTCAGGGCATCCATATCCTTGTGTGAGAGGCATTCAGATGTGTGTCTAAAGCAATGGTTCTCCAGCGTGGTCCCCGAACTGGCAGCGTCAAGTTCACTGGCAAATTGTTAGAAGCACACGTCTTCAGGCTCACCCAGGCCTCCGAAATCAGAAATTCCCAGGTTGGGACCATCGGAGTCTTCACAAGCCTTCTGTGGGTCCTGCGGTACTTTGGCTGCACTGTGGTCCATAATCCCCCACACTAAAACCCACCTTGGGGGTCTTCCGTGAGGTAAGCAGGAGATGACAGGACACCTGTACCTCACCTCCCCCCACCCGGTACCTCCTTCCAAAAACAAATGAGCTGCTATGAGCACGGAACCCACTTCAAAGCCCACAAACATCCCCCTTTTTGCCCTGAATTTAGGTATCAAAGCAAGAGAATTAAAAAAAAAAAAAAAAAAAGACGAAGAGTCAGGTTTCTCTTGTGTGGATCTTTCCTGGGACGTTGGGCAGGTTCAGAGAAGTCACTTCATGACTGCTTGTCACTTCCACGTGAACTCAAAACTCTCGTTCTAACAAATATGGGACAATGTCCACAGCAACAACCCAGGGAGTGAGAGTTTTTTAAGTTTATCGAAACGGTCCCATTCTGAAGACTAAGTGGTGGCTAAAAGTTATGAGAACCAGGACAGAGTCTGGGAGTGGGGATTACGGATCACTGGGTCACAATGAGTGTATTGCCATAGGACACAGCTTATCGCCACACAGAGTCTGCTAAGCATATACACCGTTCTTAAGTTACCCACGACTCCATTTAATTCTGCCAAGTGTCTGGCTTCCCTGGGTGTCTCTGTGGACGGTTGTATAAAACCACATTTTTAAGAATCAAAACATATGTTAAAATACCTGAAGGAAGACCATTATTATGGGAACCTTCCTGTGAATCTTCTTGCAAGGCAAACAGAGAAACCCCACTGATGGAAAGCAAGTGGAGAAAAGTGGCTAATCTGACTGGGTGAAAATTCTAAACTATTACATATCTTAGAAGCAAAGTAAAAATATTTCTTTATAACACAGTATATATCAAAACTAAATTAAAAAAATATAATTAAGGGATGCTAATAAAAATTTGCCACTCAAACAAACCGTCATCACATAATGAAAGTTTCTAGAGATAGTTTACCGTACGAGGAATAAGTAGTAATGTGAAGTTAAAGCAACTGAAGAAAGTCTTGTTTCTTTCTTTAAGATTTGTTTATTTATTTGAGAGAGAAAGAGAGACTGCGAGCAAGCGGAGGGCCAGAGAAAGAGGGAAAGAGAGAATCTCAAACAGACTCCCCACTGAGCGCAGAACTCCATGTGGGGGCTCGATCCCATGACCCTGAGGTCCTGACATGAGCCAAAATCAAGAGTCAGTTGCCCAATCGACTGAGCCACCCAGGCACCCCCTGAACAAAGTCTTACTATGACACCAAATAAGAACCAAACTAGGCAACCTCTCTTAGGCCAAGGCTGAGCCCCAAATTCTGTTTCTTAAGAAAGAGACTGATTTTTGTCTCAGGTTTTGTTTTTTGTTTTTTTTTTAACAATTTCCTAAAACTTCCCACCGTGTTCACTTTTTATTAATAACCCAGAAAGGCTACCTGAATTCCTGCTCGGTTTTACCATAATCACGCCATATTTGTCTCTTTTACATACTAAACGCCCCACCCCCACCCCCAACCTGTGATATTTCCTTCGGGCCAGGGCCACCAGAACTGCCACCATTCACAGTTTGATGGTAGAGACTAAGAGGTCAGCCTTCGGAGGCAGGAAAATATAGTTTGACTCCCGACTCCACCCCCGAGGAGACTCTGGACAAACTAGACTCTGGAGAAGCAAGTCCTGTTCCCTGGGTGGTCCTTGACACAAAGTCCCATGCTTTGCACCATGACTGCCACTCCCAAGCCCTCAGGAAATAAGAGCTATTCCAGCAACGTCTCATTCCCAATGGCAGGGGTACCTGGACCACTATCGCCGGGGATCGCCGGGTGACAGCCCCTAAGGACACACATAGCAACCGTCAGTGGTCCCCGCCCCCATCCCAGCTGCCGAGGCCGGAGGCCCAGGGAGGTTCCAGACCAGTGGTTGTGGGGAAGAGACCATTGACAATCCTGCACCCCAACACCGGCAAAGCAGAAGCCACACGGCATCTCCCTGTGTTCCCATATCTAAAGACTTTTCCAGGTCCCTGAGAAGGGAAGGGCTTCCCGGCCCCAGATCAGCATCCATGTAGAGCCCACCTACCTTCTTCATGAGCATGTAGATGTGCGTTTGTGCCGCATCCAGCACGTAGCGGTGGGGATGCCTCAGCCCCTTGACGGTGATGTCCATGGTTTTGCCATCTATGTTTATCCACCGTCTCGCCCCTGGGGCCAAGAAGAGCCTGGAGTGGGGAGCAAAATGTTAGCCAGCAGCCCGACCAAGCTGGCTAACGAAAGTGCACGGCTGCCTGTGAAGGAGGGATCGCCGTGACTCAGGTCACCCGGAATGAGGCAGGTGCCCGGGAATGAAAGCAGGCCTTTTTTTAGGAGACACTGAAGAGTCTGAACAGGTTGTCAAGCGACATTTCTTAGAAGCAAGACAACAGTCACGCCAGTTTTCAGAAGGTGAATACTGAACTCTGGTGTTCCTAACCTGTAGGAGAGGGAGCAAAATGTTGGCGGGGCAACACCAGCCATTAGAGTAAAGAATCCAATTTCCAACTTAATGCCTTCTGCCTTGTTGATGAGGATTTGGGGCCCACCTGGAACGAGACCGAGACACCTCCAAACAGGTGTTCTAGGCCTTCTGCTCTCCCTTGGCCCAGTCTAGGTGCATTTAGAAATGCCTAGGTTTGGGGTTTTTTTTCCAAATCATCTTTACACCCAATGTGGGGCTCAAACTCGCTGACCCCAGGTCAAGAGCTGCTAACAGAGCCAGCCAGGCACTCTAGAGGTAGTCAGAAATGAATCCCACATGCTGAGTCAGGAGGCAGCCCACAGTCCCAGCACCCAGGGGGTGGACCGGGGCATCCTTGCGGATGGCCCCACTGAGAACGCAATCTCAGCCGCACGGCTCCCCAACGTTTCCCGTTCTAACTTGTTTCAGGATTAGAAATACGTGAATGTTTTGCCACACTGCGAAGCTGTACATTAAAATTTTGGAATTCAGGTGAAGACGACGTAACGGAGGAGGCTGGGGAGAAGAAGCTGATAGAAAGTCAGAGGCAGCAGGGTTTTTTATAGGGGATCTTTGGAGTTAGGAGTCGTGTGTGTGTGTGTGTTGTGGTGTGCAAGGCAGTCGAGCACGACTGTTCTGAGCATGGGTGTCACAGGACCTTCCTGGGAGGACAAGCCCACCTGCACCCCCCCTTCTCTCTGTGCACGCAGCCCCTCCCTGTGGGAGGAGATGGGCACATTCCTGAGAAAGTGCAAGAGCCTCCAAGTATGAGGAGTGAGCCCTCAGCTCTTCCCTTTGGGGTTTTTGGCACCTTCCCGAAAGCTGCAGTGGCCCCTTCTGAGTCGGTTAGAAGGACACCAGAGGTCCAAAGGGGCGAGTGCTCGGGCCCGCAGCTCCGCAGCTCCGCAGCTCCGCAGCACTGGGGGTCTGCTCACCCCTCCCCTTCCTTCCCACCCGGCCAGAAGAGGCAGGTCTGGCCCTTTGAACTGGAACCTTGGGTTCGTGGGCAACATAGAGGGCAATTTCGGGGAGAAGCAGGCCTGGAGTGGAACAGACTCACTGCTACACTTAGTGGGGTCTAGAGTCATTACATGCAAAATAAGAAGTGGGCCTACATTTGTACCTCAAGCTGTGTGCACGGTCCCAGAGACTTGAGGAAGCTCCCTCCCCTTATGGTCTTCGCTTCCCTAAGATGGCTGGGGATGGGAGGTGTTCCTGCCCCGCCTGTTGTCCCTCTCTCACTCTCAAACACGCACACACGCACACCCCTCTCAGGACATCGAAGGGGGGGGGTTAGTCAAAAACAAAGCACTGCACTGTAACTCAGGGCAGCTTGCTCGAACTCCTGAGCATATTCCCCTCGGAGCAGGGCAGTGACATCATGTGCTTCCCCAGACTTTCTGGGGGAGGAAGCCACAAGCCTAAGCAGGGAGGTATCTATCGAGAGCATGGCAGGTGCAACGACTGAGGCTGACACCAGGAATGTGGTCCCTCCCATTCCATCTCAACCTCCAACGCAATGGTGTGGTCCACGGGGAGGCTCTCCCAACCATCTGGTTAGTCCTCACTTGTAAATCTCCTCTGCTTTCTCCTTGACCTTGGACTGATCTCCGTACTTCAGATCTTCACAGGCTTCCCAGAATCCCAGATTCTCCCCTGCACGGGAAGGAGGGGTCCACGCAGATGAAAGCCAGGCAGGAAACACGGCGGGAGAAGAAAAGGAAAGAAGAGAGATGGGTCAGCTGAGGCCAATTCAGTCCCCGCGGCCCAGGGAGCATCTCCCCTCTGCAGAACAAGCCAGGGCACCCCGTGAGGCTGGACAGAACACCCCTCGAGAGAAGGAGCCACGTCTTACTTCCAGAGCCCGGGAGAACATTGTTAACCCCGGGATTGCCCCACGCATGGTGTCTGAAATGAACCAGACTGGAGCCCACCACGTCTGCAGCTGTATGCATCTACTGTGCTTGCGGGCCGTTTCCGGGCGACGCACAGGTCAGAGCTCATAACAACCCCCTCGGACTGTCCCAGCCTTCCCTGTCCTGGAGTTTGGCTGGAGCAAAGCCTGCTCGAACAAGTTAGCATAGGATAGGCTTGTGAACAAGTCCTGCTTGCTACCCGATAGGCTTTCTTCACAGCGGCCCCTGTTGACTTTGCTCACGTTCCGTGAGCGCACATGACTTCTGCCTCCCTTGCGTGCGCAGACCCCTGCTTGACAGCCCCCCACGGGGCATATTCCAGCCAGGGGTCCTTACAGAGAGGCTGCTCCAGGAGCAACGCTGGCTGACTGACTCTCGGGGAAGGCCCAGCCGCTGGAGGACTTCACAGAGAGTCACCGGAGCCACGGAGACTCAGCTCCTCTGGGCCCAGGAGGAAAGCCGGTCTCCTCTCGAGCCCTCCCTTCCTTTCAACTTCAAGCTCTCTACTCAGTTCTCCACGGCACCCACAGGGGGTGTGAGCACTTGGGTACAATCATCCCAGGTTGTCATTTTTGCCTGAGAAAATAAAGATGATCACACCAGTGGGACAGCGAGTGGCTGCATGTGAGCGTGCGCACGTGTGTGCATACTATGTACGTGTGTGCATGTGTGTGAGTCACGGCATGCTGTGGGTGGGGACACAGACGAGAGCACCTCCTCCTCCCCTTTCACAGTATTTGCTGGAAAGCTCCCGGGTGCGTCGGAATGGAAAAAGCAGCATAGTTCTCAACTAGTGGACGTCTGTCCCATCGCTCTAGAGAGGTCCCTTTCTCTTCAACATGAACTTCAGGGTGTTCTTTGGACTGAGATCACGGGCAGGAGTAGACAGACCAGCGATGCTTTTAAGTGACAGCCAATCAGTCTCACATCAAGTGCAATGTAGACCGCCTTACCCATGCAAAAGATAAGCCATTGCTTAAGGTCAAAATTAAATGAGCAATTATTCACAATAGCCAAAGGTGGGAGCAAAAATGTCCATCAGCAGATGAACAGATAACCAAAACTTGGCATATACATACAATGGAATATGATTCAGCCTTAAAAGGAATAAAATTCTAACACAGGCTACAATATGGATGAACCTTGAAGGCAAGCTAAGTGAAACAAGCCAGTCCAGAGGGACAAAAAAGATATATGATTTCACTTCTATGAGGTACCTAACATAGAGAAATTCACAGAGACGGAGCGGTGAATGGTGATCGCTGGGAGCTGGGGGGTGGAGAGAATGGGGAGTTGGTGCTTCACGGGGACAGAGTTTCATTCGGGAAAGATAAAAAGCTCTGGAGATGGATGGTGGTGATGGGAATACAGCAAGGTGAATGTAATGACCACCACCAAACCATACATTTAAAAATGGTTAAAATGATCAATTTTATGTGATGAATATTTTATTACCATAAAATATTAGGGGTGCCTGGGTGGCTCAGTCGTTAAGCGTCTGCCTTCGGCTCAGGTCATGATCCCAGGGTCCTGGGATCGAGCCCCGCATCGGGCTCCCTGCTCGGCGGGAAGCCTGCTTCTCCCTCTCCCACTCCCCCTGCTTGTGTTCCCTCTCTCCCTATGTCTCTCTTTGTCAAATAAATAAATAAAATCTTTAAAAAAAAATAAACGAGCACACAAAAGTGTGTGCATGAATGTGCAAAGCAGCATTATTCACCAGAGCCGAAAAGTCTAAACAACCCAAAGGGCCACCAAAGTATGAATGGATAAACGAAACATGGTTTATCCATACAATGGGATATTACCTTAAATACCCTGATAGGGATGAATCCTGGAAACACTATGTTGTGTGAAAGAAGACAAAAAGCCACACATCGCATGATTCCATTTATATGAAATGTCCAGAACGGGCATATCCATGAAGATAGACAATAAATTAGTGGTCACCTAGGACTGTGGGGGAGGGGGAAGCAGAGGAGAGCGGCAGAGGAAGAGGAAGAGAGAGGAAGAGGGAATGGCTTTTAATGGGGTAAAGGGTTTCTTTATGAGGTGGTAAGAAATGGTCTACAATTATATAGTGATGATAGTTGTGCAGCTTTGTGAATACACTAAAAACCACGGAACTGTACACTTTAAAAGGGTTACGGCGTGAGAATTACATGGTATGTGTATTTATGGTATGCGAAGTAGATCTCAATTTTTTTAATGTTATTTAAATTAAAAAACTCACAATTCGGGAATCTCTTAAAGAGATCGCCAGAAATACTACTTTAATAACACAGGGAAATCTTTTCAAGGGATTCTCACTGGTAACCAAGCCCTGGGTGGGATAAGCCCAGGATGCAGTGTGTCATTTCGCCACTAGATGGCACCCTAGCCTCTTCTTCTGGAATTGCCTCCGGGCCCTCGCCAAAAGCACTTGCCTTTCCCATCATCTATTCTGGGTTTTATCATATCATGGCAATTAGGCTTGATTAGAGAGAAGGATTGTCAGGAATCCATATTATAATGTAATGTGCTGCATCAGGCAGTCCAACAGGCTAATGGCGTGTCCCCTGGGATTAGTTTCAGGCGAAACCCCATAGACAAATGGGTCTTGGGAGCAAGCGGCTGAGAATGGAGGTTCAAATATAATGATGCTCTGCAGGGCTGGGAATTCAGTAAGCAAATGAACGAGTCCCATATAAAAGCACATCTGCAAAGCAAAAGAGAAGCCACCTGAATGCTCAGCCTGATGAAATTGGTCTTAATCGTGCCTTTAATTTTCAAGTTACAAGTGCCTCCCTACCATGCTGAGACACCCGGAGACGGAGTATAAAATGCGCCCCCCCCATCCCACTAAGACCGGCACACTCCTAAGGTCCTGTGTGTAGGCAGCAGAGCGGGAGCTGAGACAGTGGTTCTCAATCACAGCCACATATGAGAATCACCTGGGGCGTTCTCGCACCTGCGGGGATCACACCCCAAACCAATTTTAAAAAGGAGCATCTGGAGATGGGATCTTGGCAGATGTTTTTAAAATACCCCAGGTGAATCAAATGCACAACCTGGGCAGAGAAGCGCTGAGCTGAAGGAAACCAAGCTGCTGGACAAAAAGGGAAAGCGTGCACTTGGCGGCGGGGGACACGGACTCTTGGACCGGTGACCCCAGAATCAGCATGAGGAAGTGAGAACAGCCAGAGGGGACGGAGCCCTTGCAGACGCGAGTCGCGCTGCATTAGCTGCATGGATTTCGTCTGCGGATTCAAGCCCCCCCCCCCCCCCCACCCCGACCCCCACCCCGACTGTGGGGCCTCTTGGAACAGATGGAAAGGACAGGTCCAAGAAGAGCACACAGCAACAGAGCTGGGAAAACACCTACCGAGAAATCCTCGAAACCCTATACCAGACGAGACAGGAGTGTTTCTAAAAGCAAAAAATTGTATTAAAAAATCAAAAGACCCACCACTGAATTCTTTCTTGAGAAAGTACTGGAAGCTCTGTCGGCCCTTGGGGTCTCGGATCAATTCACTGAAGTTGAAGGCCCATCGTTCCACCCGCATCTTGGTTGGGATTTCTACCCTGCAAGGATGATGATTTGTAAATGCGCCAGACACTCAATGCGAGGCACAGGCCCCCACGAAGCTCACGAGTCCCACGGCCCAGGGCTCAACCCAGCCCTCCCCCCTCAATCCCTGCACAGACGGACAATCCATGTAATTACTTGCTAGGAACATGCAGCCTCAGATAAGTCCCCTGGGACTCATCTGGAAAGCTGGTACCCCAGAGGTGAGAAGGATGCTCACAGCGAACAGCCTCACACTCCGGCCCGCTTCAGGGCAAAGGAACACAGATGCCCCCCTCCAAGGCCCGTGGAGACTGGCCAGCAGAGTCAGTCAGGCCACCCCACCAGACCGGAAGAAAATTCCGGAGCAACACCGGTGATGGGTGCTGGGGTCACTGCCACCCCGCCCCACGCCCCATCACTACGGGAGCACGGGCGCATCTAGGAGGAGTCGATGATTCTTCCTGTACCTGCCTGCAGGCCCCGAGCCCCAGGCAGACCCTACTGTCACCGAGGCACCCTCCCTCAGAGCCCTATCCAAGATGCAAGTCCCAAACCACTCCCCTGTTTGGAAAGGTCTCGACGCTCCCAGGTAGGACAGTAGAGCGTGGCTGGCTGAGGTCTAACATTCCAGAAAATGAGGAAAAGAGTTGGCGTTTCTCCTATTCCTTATGAAATTCTCCAGAACCCAACACAGCCCCTCGGAAACAAAGGTTTCCAAGTCCACGACACCACACCTCCCAGTAACGTAGCAGCTAGAACTGCGGCCAGCTACGATTCATGGGCTCTAAATGAGCCAAGCAAGTTCATGCTTTCTCTGACAAGAGCGTGAAAACAGTAACAACCCGGTACTAACATTAAGAGCCACCATTTACAGAGTGTCACTGCCTGGGAGGCACTGTGCTTCACACGCACGTCACCGGGTCCTTAATAGAACGCTGTGAGCTGACCATTCTCAACCCCGTGTTATTGCTGAGAAGACCAAGGCTCACACAAGAAGCAGATCCAAAAAACAAACGGACAAAAATAGTGATGTGCAAACTTCAGCATGCGTCTGAATCACCTGGAAGACTCAGACAAACACAGATTGCAGGGTGCTATCCCTTAAGTTCCGGATTCACAGGGGTCGGTGGGGCCAAGAATTTGCATTTGTAACAAGCTCCCCAGGGATGCTGCAGCTACTGGTCCAGGGACCACACTGGGAACCAAAGCTCCAAACTGGTGTTAGGAATTCTGGCTGTTCACTGAAGTCAATGGCAGCTTCTAGAAACCACTGGTGAGGATAAGAAGGTAGCCTGGGCCAATTAAGAGGCTTTGGGGGTGAAGGCTGGACATTGGGATTTTTTTTTTTTTAAGATTTATATTTCTTTATTGAGAGAGAGAGAAAGATAGAGAGCAAGAGAGGGGGTAGGGTCAGAGGGAGAAGCAGACTCCCCGCTGAGCAGGGAGCCCGATGAGGGACTTGATCCCCGGACTCCAGGATCATGATCTGAGCTGAAGGCAGTCGCTTAACCAGCTGAGCCCCCCAGGCGCCCCTGGACATTGGTTTTTGTTTGTTTTTCATTTTTAAGCCTCCCAGGTGATTTTAATACAGCTTTAAGATCTCACCCATTCCAAACAAGGCTTCCTGTCTTCAGTGGGGCATTTGGTACCTCCCGTGTTCTTTTCCCCAGTAAATCTCTGCCTCACGCTTCAATACCATATTCTCCATTTCATTTAAAATCCGGCGGCTCTCCACGCCTCTGTCCCAAGCCCTCCTGGGACAACCCTTCTCCTGGCCAGGTGGCTCCGCCGTCTCCTCCACGGACAGCTGAATTCTGCACATCCTTGCACACGAGGAGATTCAGGTCACTTCTCTGCCCTGACACACTGGGAGGCAGGCGTAGGCTCCAGAAAGCCACCACAATAACTGGAGCCCCCAGAGTGGGAGGGAAGCGTCTCCAGAGGGTGGTTCTAGAGTCTTCGGCTCTGCAGGGGACACTAGTAGACAGGTGACCCCAAACTCCAGATGAGAGCCCTCCTTATCCCATCAGCTGCCCATAGCAGGCCAGGAGGAATGGGTGCAAGGGTTCCCCAAGCTATGGGAAAGCTATGTCTCTCTACTTAGCTGTGCTACCTGCATGTCCTCATGCCTTAAGTGGTAATGACTCTGGTGGTGACCTGAACTGTGATATGCACCTGATGCTCTCGATCTTTCCCATCACCCCACCTGCCTTATCCACTCCTACCAGCCGCTTCCTTCCTCCTCTCCTCCTCCATCTCTCCCTCTGATGTGACTGTTACACCTTCTCTTCTTCCTTCATTGGCTTATGCTTTCTTTCTGCATTTCCGCCTTTGTCAGGAGCCATAACTGTTTATAATTCACAAACAGAGCAAAGGAGTGAGTGGTGTAACTGCCAAGGCAGGTGGAGGGCTCTGCCCTCCAGGACTTTATTTTTCCTCTCATTAGATGTCAAAAAATGCAAGGCCATAAAAAAGATCGTTTTCTTTTCAGAAGCAATATATTGTGAATACAGAGTTACCATCTGACCCAGCATTTCCACTCCTGGGTACACAACCAAGAGAAATGAACACATACGTCCACACAGAAACCTGGACATGAATGTTCACAGCAGCATTATTCATAACAGCTAAAAGACAGAGGCAACCCGAATGTCCATCAACTGATGAATGGATTTTTAAAAAGTCTATCTCCTTACAGTGAATATCACTCAGCCATAAATAAGGATGGAGTACTAATCCACTGCACCACCCAGATGAACCCTGAAAGCATTATGCTCAGTGGAAAAGAGCTAATCACAAAAGATCACATATTACACAATTCCATTTAGACGAAACGTCCAAGTCGTCAAAGGCATAGAGACAGAAGGTAGTTTTGGGGTTGCCTAGGGCTGGAGGGGTTTTGGGGGGTGGAGGGGTTCTTACTTGGGTGATGAAGATGTTTTAAAATCAACTGTGGTAATGGCTGCATGACTCTAGGAACATAGTAGAAACCACTGAATTGCACACTTTAATTGGATGAATTGTATGGCACGTGAATTATAAGACAAAAAGCTATTTTTTCAAATACATACAATTTGGCATTTAAGTCCCAGAACTGGGTGTCATCTGTTATCCAAGGATTGCTGGGAAGGCAGCCTGACATGATGGCGTCATTGGACAAAAACTGCTCACTGTATTTGACGATCCTGAAAAGCAAATGGAAAACAATTTCCTAGAAGTTCAACAACCAAGAGACGAAATCAATACTCAGGTTGATTGACCAGCCTGTCCTCCTTTCTCTTTATCGATTTAGTTACATACTTATTACTGCCTTCTTAGAAAACCGCTCTAATAGCCCTCAGGATTGGCAGGTATTTGACAGGATCTGTCCCCGTTCTACTCGTGAGATGAAACATCGTCTTCCCATCCAATTCCTTTGCAATTTCTCTACCGCACCTATTCCATTAAAATAAGGCCTCTTTATATTATATCAGGAGTTTTCCAAATTCAAAGCCGACTCGGTTTGCGTGTGCTCAGACCAGTGTCTTGGCGCCATCTTGGAAGCATGAGGTTGCCATGGTCTCTCTGAGATTCCACCCTTTGTCAGGAGAACCTCTACATTTGGGAACTTAGATTCATCATTCAAAGCCTGTGGTCTCACTGAGGTGTGAACCCCACATTCACATATGTGAGCAAGAGCTAATTCCTTCTCTATGAGTTAGACCTTCCTAGGCAACACATTTCCTAGTACGGTATACACATGAGACACCTACTCTAACATCTGCCCATAGCTAGGAGATTTCGATAGAACAGAACCCATGCCCTAGAGATATGCCAGAGCATTAGGTTTATAGTTCTGTGACAAACTCAAGCCCCTTGGCTTCATTTCTCCCAAGACCCTCTTGTATTTCTCAGCAAGACCTTTACAGTAGAGCAGCTGAAGGGAAGAAAAAGGAAAACTGGCCTCAGGTCCAACCACAAATGATGTCAAATTCTGGTAATGAACCACTAAAACAAATAAAAATTGGAAAGTGGGTGTAAGAAGTATCCAATAGCCTTGGAGTCTCCTTCAATGTGCTTTCTGTTTGGTTTCATTAAACTGGGTTTCTGGAACAACACTGCAGATGGGTTTTACTTTATCATAAAACAATGATGATCGTTATAACCCAAAGGTGAGTGTCCACTGAGTATATGGGTACACGCTCCTCTGTGACCAATGGAGCTCAACAGCTGGAGACAGAAGTGGTTGAAAAATGTGGGGGAGGTCAGGGCACATTTTCTCAGGTGGGTGGTTTTGCAAACTAGCGATTTGGGAAGATGTAAAAAGATATTTGAAGATTTTTATAGGAGCCTAACTCCTAACCATATTGGAAGAAAGGCACTGGGCAAAATATAACATCTTCCATCTTGATTAGTACCATTACTCAAGTCTCACACAGTCAAAATAAATGGGTAGTCACGTTGTGCCTCTCCAGAAATAAGCCATGTGTGCAGGAAAATCTTAGTTAGCAAGGTGGTCCTAAAATGAATTGCACATTTTAAAAGGATAACTGCTTACATTTGGGGGGCACTAAATCCTTTTGTGTCTCCCCAGTAATGTCGTATGGGGGACTGGATCAAGGTATCCTGAGTGTTCAATACGTCAAATGTAAATTTCCAATTAATTGTAACTGGATTTTGAATCAAAGATTAACAGTGGACATTTAATAATACATTGAACCAGTAAACGTAACTCACATATCTCTAATAAATTTGAGTGGTTGCTGATAGGAACACGGGCTACTGTGGATCCCCCACAGGGTCCAGTCTATGAACTTTCTATTCTTCCCACCTTGTCCATCCACACATTAGTGGATTCCAAGAAAGGTGAGGCTTGTATAAAACCTCACCCATCCCTGATTTTGCCTAACCCAAGATGAGACCTGGACACACGCAGACTGAGGACCTAGGAATTTAATCCTTAAAAGACTGGTTTCATCCTTCAGAGCTCCTTAGGATCTTATGTCAGCCCACAACCGCTCAAGTTTGCCTTAAAGCAGAAGGCTCTCTTCTTGTCTACCTCTTGTTCAAACCTCAGCAAGACCAACAAATTAGAGACATACCCTCCAAGGGACACTGAAGACTTCACAGTGGACCTCATTAAGGCCTGTTGGTAATACATGATCTGGAAGAGACACAGTGGTTGGAGGATGCCCGACTTCCCCACCCTTGAGTGCCACTAACACCGGCCCTTACACGTGGCCTCCAGAACCAGAAGCCACTTCCCTGCCATCCCACCCCCTCAAGCCACCCACCACAGTACTAACAGGACAGAGGGCCACAGTAGACAGGTGATCCCAAAATCCAAATTAGAGGCCTCTATAACCCATCATGTATCAGTCTGGGAAAAGGCACCAATTGGAAATACAAAAAGTTCTAAGGAGCATTAAATTGAGACATGGGGACAGATGCTGGGCTTTTCCCTCAGGTGCCCCTGACTCACAGAGCAGGGCTAACCTCAAGAGCCAATGCCTTCCAGGGCTCTGTCTTGGGCCCTGGACACAAGATTTGCCAAAATAGGTAGTGTGTCTATTCAGAGAGATTCTGAACGGCCCTGTCATTGTAGGAGCAGGGGCCGGGGTGGGGAGGCAGACACTGTGGCATCCATCCCACGTAGGTCAGGTCTGGGCCTTCTGATGGTGTTTCATATCCTGAGCCTCAGCACCGATCCATTTCGATCTTACAAAAGATGCTTTGTCATTCTGTGCGGTTCATTAATTTAGAAATAATTGTTTGAACATTACACATGGTTTTTCATTTCATTACTGAGGGCAGAGCGTAAAGCCAAAGTACATATAATTTGTTAGAGGATTGAAAATCAAACTTCCCTGGGACCAGGAAACTAATTACCTCTTTTCTGACAGCAGTGATTGTTTGTTTCTGTAAAAACAAAGAAGCAAAAACCATTAAACAGATGCCATTAAGTCATTACAGTTCAAGTACCCATTTGAGAAATAAAAATCCTTACCCATGAAAAAAACGGTTTCACCTTTTCTTACTTAAAAGACAGGCTTTCCCCACGACCACCGCCACTGGAGAATTAATTCAACTAAGGCTCTGATGAGGGAATGCATATGATTTACTACTATAACTGTATGCTGTTCTCCCAAAAGCCAAGATGAATTCAAGACTATGCTTGGGATTGGTCCCAATCTACCATAGTGCCTACAGAACCATCCTAAATGGGATGAGACACAAAGTTGGGAAACAAGTATGCAGCTGGAAAGTTTGTTCTTTCCTCCCAGGAGAGAGCTCTGAATGGTGAAATCCATTCCTTGGGTATTCATAACAACTTGACCAATACAAATTGGGGGGAAAAAAGCCACATTGCCAAACATAAAGCACACAATTAAAAAACTTGAGACCAGCGCCCACCAAGAGCTAAGCCCTAGAGTGGAGCTGTACCAATGTAGATCATATCAGGTGGGTCCTATCATCTTGTTGAAGCAGCTGAAGCAGGTTCATGCCTGGGGTGAGCTGCATCCTCTCTCTGGATTTTTTGTGATTGAGCAGAGAAAGGCTGGCTCTCAAAAGAGACTCCATGTATAGGCTCTTAGAAGCTCCTGGAAACCATTCAGACCTGCCTCCTACTAAAACCCTTTATAATCTGACATGCTTCCTTAGCATCACTTTTCAGCTCCATGCAACTCTCAGAAATTGGGCACAGTTGGTGATTCCAGTCTTGGTTTTTCTAGCTTTGGTTGTGTCCAGGGACCGCTTGGTACTGACTCTCATACTTTAAATTGATCATCTTCGTTCCTGGCTGCCAGTATCCAAGCAGCTGAATACAACCAGATTTTCACTGGGAAGAGAATCAGAAGCCCAAGGAGGACACTATTTCCCTTAGCCAGTGAGTAAAATAAGTACTGGCCCATGAGCCCATTGACAAGGAATGGAGGAGGGTCTGATCTGGAATGTCACATACAAAACTCTCCTTACTAACCCATGCGGGGTTTCATTTTGCTTCATTGGACTGCTTTTATGTAATTGCTTTTCATAGGAAACCCTTTTTCCCGAGTGGGGGAGGTAGGGAGAGTTATCTTGAAAATTAAATGTAGGTCTCTCTGTTTTGGACTCACACACACCCCAACTTCTTCCTTCATAGCACTTACCACAACTGTAATTAAATATTTGTTTGTGCCATTCTATTTCATATATGTATCATCCACCAGGCACCATTAAGAGCAGGGCGACCATCCCTGCCTCTAGCCTAATTTCTGGTGCACAGTAGATGCTCAAGAAACCTCAGATAAATGATAACTGCCATGTGCTTGGATGCCTAGAAAAACGGAGATGTATTCTAAGTTTAATAGAATATTTTTCCACCTAAACAGCTGAAGACACTCCCCAAATGATCCATATTTTGGCAACGGCACTGATTATCTGTTTCTATTGTCTCTTGACATAAGGCACTGTTTTAGAAGACTAACATTTCAGAAAGAAAAGGACCCTGGGACCAGAGTGGCTTTGCATTCCAATCTAATACAATCAGACTCTCTTGTTAGAGTGTGCTCAAGTAGATTAAAAATCATATCTACTGGTCTACACCTTCTGTTCAAAGCGGATGCCGGACCTCTGCCTATAATAGTAACCACTTAGCAATTAAGTGCAAAGCAATTTACACCTCTCTGATCCCTTACAAAGTTTAAGGGAGGAAAGTTTTCTTATTCTGATTTTCAGCTGGGGATACCTAACCACTGAGATGTTACAGCAACTTTCTCAAAACCTCCTGCTCAGCAACAGGTTGAGCCAGGATTCAAGCCTAGATTTTCCATTTGCAAAGCTGAGGAGTGATCCATGAGCCTCAGAAAAAAAGCCTACACTCCTCACCAGTTCCTTCTTTGCCTTAAAGCCACGAGTGCTACACCGTGGACTGATTCTGTCCAGCCATTTAATTTAAAATTAAAACAGTGGGGTGTCTGGGTGGCTCAGTCATTAAGCATCTGCCTTCAGCTCAGGTCATGATCCCAGGGTCCTAGGATCGAGCCCCACATCGGGCTCCCTGTTGCAAGGGAAGCCTGCTTCTCCCTCTCCCACTCCCTCTGCTTATGTTCCCTCTCTTGCTGTGTCTCTCTCTGTCAAATAAATAAATAAAAATCTTTTAAAAAAATAAACTAATTAAATTAAATTAAAACAAAAAGAGAGCTAAAGCCCCAATCACAAGATGCAACAGAAAGACAGGAAACACTCTTTAATCAACACTAATGACAGAAAAACAAACTCCCCGCTGGAAGAGAAATGAGATCTGGCGATCTGACGCACAGCAAGGTGACTTTAATTAACAACACTGTTTTATATACTTGAAGGTTGTTAAAGAGAGTAGATCTTAAATGTCATCACCACACACTCAAAAAAAAAAAATCCTAATTATGCAAAGGGGTGGAGGTGTTAACTAACCTTATTTTGGTAATCATTTTGCAATATATGCATAGCTCTAATGATCACACTGTACACCTTAAATTTATATATGTTATATGTCAGTAACCTCTCAATAAAGCTAAGGAAGAAAAAACACTAACAGTAGTAAAGATTGCAGTCATACTAGGCTTGTGCTCAGCAGCCAGAGTGCCTGAACACCCTCCTGCCAAGTGCCCAGGAGCCAAGATCAAACCTCCTACGAGCATGGGACTCCTACTAAGCGGACCAAGAGAGATTAAATGAGCCAGATTCTCAGTCTGCCTGTCCCTCCCTGGGCTCCGTGGGGAGCCATCCCTGCAAGTCAACCACAATCACACACACTCTCTCATCTCTCCTCTACCTGGCATGGCCTGGCTTTTAGCCTAATATGTTTCTGGGGCCATTATCTCAGTCTTCGGTGTGTTAAAATATTTCGTATTTTAATTCACTTTATTTGATTGTATTACCCCATTAGGGCTTCTGCATTGGTGGTGCGGTTTGCTGACTGTTCTCAGATTTCCAGGATTACCAGCCACCCTCTGGGAGTCAGACAGCAGTGGATTTGGTTGAACCGGAGGCTTCCCCCACCTCTGCCTTGGATTTCCCACATGGATTTTACTGGTTTCTAGCTTTAAAAATAGCTTTCTATGGGATCAGTTTCCTCTAGACGGACATACAGGGCATCTCTGTCCTGTTAAGGGTGTGTGGACATTGGGATGGTGCAGGAGAGGGTCCTGGACTTTTCTAAAAGACAGAAAGGGAATGTGATTGGGGAGGGGAGGGGCAGCTTAGGAAAGAGAACAGACTTTCAGATTGGGCCCAGGTCAAATTCCTGGTTCTGCCACTTATTGGCTTGACTTGACTTTGGATGAGTTATTTAGCATTTCAAAGCCTCTTTCCTCCTTTGTAAACGGGGATCACAAAAGGGGGAAGGCATTAAATGAGATAATACAGAGAGGTGACTGGCACAGAGCAGAGGCTCAACATATTGTGGCTACTGAGTAGGGTTCATACACTATTGCTGAGAGGAGGCACGGTGTGGTGTAGACCCTAATTACAAGATAAAACACAAGATGCCCCTGCAATATTTGGGACATACTGATACTAAAGAAGTTACTTGTGGTTTATCTGATAATCAAATTCAACTGAGCATCCAGTATTTTTATTTGCTAAATCTCATAAATCTGTCCATGTTGTTATTACTTAGCCAAAGGCCATAAAAAAGACATTAAAGTCATTAAAAAATACACACGCGCACGCGTGCACATTTCTAAGCAATTCAAGACAACCACTTCATGACAACATAAGAAATAAACATTTTTTTCTCCCTGTAATTCATGCACAAACCCGTTGCCTTCCCAACAGTTGGCCTTGCTGGAGGGAAGTCACTTCTTTATTCCTCATCCGAGTGACACACTGTGCTACACTAAGATACTCTGCCTAAGGAATCTTCAAATGCTACGCATTCTTGGAATTCTAACTTACTCTTTTCCCCTTATAGGAGTTACCCAAATAGGGATGCCTCCAGAGCCTGTTTACACAGCTCTGTGGCTGGCTTGTTGGCCTCCCAACCCGGGTGCAGGTTGCAGACAATTGTCACAGGGCAGGAAGGGTCAGTCAGGCCATACCCTGGGAGGGCCTGGGGCCACTGCAGACAGGGGTGTAGAAGCAAGGAGGAGGGACAAGCAAGGACCTGGGACCAGGCAGCCAGGCAGGAATGTGCGCTGAAACAGAGGTGAGGGGTCGGGCAAGCCACAGAGTGAAACACAAGATGGGGACAACCATGAGGAATCGGGGAATATAGGCATTGAGAGCAGAGAGAGGGTCAAAAGTCAGAATCCAGGAAATGTGGGGACTGACGGAGTTAATGCAAAGCAGACAAGAGATGGGAAGAAGTGACCTGCCCAAAGAGACAAGAATTTGAGGTCGCAATCCCCTGAGGTAGTCTGTCCTGCCGCGAGCTTCCGGATCAGTTGGAGGCAGGACAGACGGCGTTATTTACAGGGCCCGTTGCAAAATGCACATGCAGGACCCCTCGTCCAAAGAAAGCATTAAGAATTTTAAGGCGGTGCCAGGTGAACACTAGCCCAAGTGCAGGGCCCTACTGAGTGCGGAGCTATGGCCCAGTGCACAGGTCATCCCCCCATGATACTGACCCCGGGCGCAGACTGGAAGGGTGTGGTAGGGGGCAGGGGCCGGAGGGCAGGGAATAATGGGGATCAGAGAAGAGCAAGAGTCACAGACCTGGGAAGTCACAGAGCCAATAAATGACAGAACCAGGAATTTGACCTGGGCCCAATCTGAAAGTCCAGTCTCTTTCCTAAGCTGCCCGTCCCCTCTCCAATCACATTCCCTCTCTGTCTTTTAGAAAAGTCCAGGACCCTCTCCTGCACCATCCCAGAAGTGACCTCTCTCACAGCATGGCGACCATTAGGATAACGACAGCTACTGTCCGTGGACCGCCTCTGCATGTTGGATACCATTCCAGACACTTCACATAAATGACCTCATTTAATCCTCGGAGGAAAGAGCTACTGTTATTCCCATTTTATGGGTAAGGAAACTTAAGGCTATGAATAACTCAAGAGCTTGTCCAAGACCACATGTCCAGGGAGCGGCTGAGCTAGGACTCACGGTGAGATCAAAGCTTTCTTCAACACCCCACACTGGCCCTCATCACAAAATGACTATGGTCATCCTGTCGGGGTCAGGAGAGGAAACGCCAGCCCTAGGCATACCACCGCCCATGGCTAGTGCCCAGCCGCCATTTTGTCTCCTCAGTGAAATAAAAGGAAGATGGGGGGCTATGTGTGCCTCAAGGTAGGGGAATTGAGAGAAGACATGCTCTCTGGGTGCGGCCTTGGGACCACGGGCAGTTCCTCCCAGGGCTGGGCAGCCACACCAACTCGTGGCCACCAGCCTGAGGAGGTCGGTCACCCAGAGCCCTAGGACACCGCCAACCAAACAGCCTCTTTCTTACGCTTGCTGGTGTTCATTTCTTTTGGGTTATTTGCCTCCATTTAAGGAAAACAGGCATCTTTTCAAGAATTTACTAATTCTCAGAAATGGCCTCTCTCTTCAAACCAGCAATGAGAGATCTTCTCTGGAACGAGACAAAAATCCAGAACGTCTGCATGCCCAAGGCCTCATGGAGACACTTCACGTCCTCTCGACCCTCTCCCCTCAGGGCAGATAAACTGGGAAAATCGGGGGCCACTTGGTCAGTCGGTGAGAAACGTTGCCAACACATCAAACATGGCACCAGCCTCCATCCCCCCAGTGGCTGGGCCTGACACACACTGGGGCTGGCAGAGAGGGAGAGGCCGTGCTCTCATGAGAATTACGGTTCTTTATTCTTCAGAATACTCCAGAGTAGCCAGAGTGCAGACAGGAGAAAGAGAGCTGGTGGGAGAGAGAGAAACAGAGAGAGATGAAGGGTAAACAAAGTGAAAGCACCCCCGTGTCAAACATGGCCACGGGAGGGTCAGCCCCCAGCCTCACGCACTGTCTGGTGCTCTGACTCTGAGCGTCTGGCAAGAAGTGGGTAGTAAGTGCCAGAAGGTATGCTCTTCTTCCAGCCTGACCCCCTGTGAGCCTGAAGATGCTCTCTCAGTGAGAAGGGGTCTGGCCAGGCTCCTTGGAAGTTACCCCCAAATAGCATGGAGGATGGAGCACCTCAGCTCCTCAGCTGTCCTCCCAGAGCTGGAGTGTAAGGCCCCCTGCACCACAGACACACACAGACACACGCACACACACACTCACACAGGTAGGCCAAATCCCAGCTGGCTAGGGTCAGAGTAGCGTGATGTGCTTTCCACCTGTACCCTCCCCTCCTCCACACCACAGAGGTTTCCAGAAATGCCAGTTATCCATTTAAAAAAAAAAAAAAAAAAAGCAAATCTTCCACCCCGGTTCAGTATTTTCCTTGATGATTCTGTTTCCATAGCAACCAAGCCTACAAGCCTCAGCAATTATCTGTCATTTGACGAGGGGAACATGGAAAAGGCTGTGAAGGCTGACAGTGCCATGCATGTATTAAAGGCAGGATCACTTTGAGTTGTGGGCAAGGGACCTAGCAATGCCCCAGGGGATGCCCTCTGGGGACTCAATGTCCCCTCTCCACATGGACTCCATTCCTAAACCCATGCCTCTGTCTCTGCACTGGTGGGGGTCCCCACAGCTATCTTGAGTTCCAGGTCCCAGTGGACTTCCTTATTCCTCCTTTCTGGCATATTCTTCTCACCTCCCACTCACGCCTTTATGTACTGCCAAGGCTTAGAGATGACACATGAGGCTAAAATGTCCCTGACCCCTTGCTGCCCATGGACAACATTAGACAGAAAGCAATGGAACCATCTAAGTCTAGGTCAAGTGTGTTTTAGGCTCCATGATTCTCAGCCGGGCCAATTCTGCTCCCCAGGGCACACTGGACAACGTCTGGGGACATTTGTGATTGTTAGGGCTGGGAGGCTGGCAGAGAAAAGCATGGAGTTACTGGGATCCAGTGGGTAGAGTCCAGAGGTGCTGCTAAATATCCCACAACATGCAAGAAATCCCCCCAAGGAATTATCTGGCCCCAAATAATAGTGCCATGTTTGAGAAACCCTACCCTGGATGCCCACTGTTTCAGCAGCTTATGCACTGCATTCCTCTAAACAAAAAATTGTCTTAGGAAAATGGCCACCCATCATAAATGGTGGCCTATTTGGGGAAAGGGTCCTTCTAAAACTAAAAGCATAAGAGAATCTTTGCAAAGGCCCCACCCTACTGAGATGCAAAAGAAAGTGGGACATTCTGGGTCATGTGGATTAAGGTTTCAACCCGAAGTTGATTCAAGGGTTTTGAGCCTGGGGCCTATAGTCTCCAGGAGATCAGAGAACTGGCTGAAATTATGTGCAAAATGTCTGTCTGGGCATCTGGACGGAATGGGTTCATAACTTTCACCAGATTTTCAAAAGAGGAACTGCCTCGGAAAAGTCTGAAGCCCATCCACATAGATCCCATTTGCTCTGACCTGCACTCTACATTCTCTCGTCTATCATCACACAAGACCCTCGTCATGGCCCTGCCCCTGACACCGGAATCACAAGATATCTTTTTGGAAGTCCCAAAGGTGAGACATCATTGCCCCAACAGATACAAACAGACAACAGTCATGTGGACAACTTCCCAGCCTAAGAACCTGACCTAGGCCCTGCCCAAAGTATGCAGCCGAGACCTACCTGGTTTACCTGGACTTCATTTGGATTGGTCACTCGGTCCAGGCCATAGTCCAGCACGTTGTTCATTCCCGGCTGAATGGAATAAAAACAATGTAAGAACCACCCCTGGAAGAATCTCCAGTTTCTGATTAACTTTGGGTCTTGGCCAAACTGCCAATTATGAGACTGAGCTGAGAAGGGCTTGTGGCTTAGCCCATAGGGAACCAGAGTTATTGTAAGACCCTCTGGGTGAGCTGAGAAACTTCATGGAGCTGTTCCACCACCAGAGCATCCTCAGAACCCAACACAGGATGGATGGGTGCGTGGATAGGTGTGTATAGCGGTGGGTGAATGGATGGGTAGATAGATGGATGGGTGGATGAATGGATAGATGGAAGGGATGGATGGATGGATGGATGGATGGATGGATGGATGGATGGATGGATAGATGGATGGATAGAAGGGTGGATGGATAAAACTCAAACTCAAGAGTTCACTGGGATTAGTACATGGGACTCTCACTCCTCTGGCAGTGCTCCTTCCCCCTGGCCCCCACCTACAGTGCAGTGCTTTGGAGAGTCCAGGCTTCAGTTAGCACCTTTGGGTTCCAATCCTGGATCTGCCACTTCCTAGCAGTGAGGAAGATTTTGGAAACTACTTCTCTCTACACTTGCTATCCCTCCTGAGAAATGGAGATGATCCCTCCTACCTGTCAAGTTCTTGCTGAGGATTTAACAAGATGATGTGCAAAGCATTCAACAAAGGGTAGCAATTACTGAGCAAGGGCTTGTAGTCATTTAAAGATGGCATATGAAAACACCTGGCCCAAAGTGGGGCCCTCAGTCTTTACCAGTCCCCTTCTCCACCAGGCAACGAACTCTCCAGCCAGTCTTGCTTGGTCTCTCCCTATTCCTTGGCCAGCAAGTTGGGTCTTTCACTTCCTTCTCCGTTAGTTTGGTGCAGGCCACCATCAAGTTCCCAACACATGTGATCACCCAGGCCCACTACACTGAGGCAGGAGGCCACGGAGCTTTCTCCCCATCAGATTCAACCTCATTAGGATCAGCTGCATGTTCAGCTCAGAGCTATGGTTGCCAAGTAAAATACAGGATGCCCAGTTAAGCTCGAAGTTCAGACAAATGACAAATAATTTTGATACATGATTTACATAAAAATATATTACATATGTTTTTAATATAAATATACAATAAGCATAAAAATAGTGTGACATGAATTGTTTGCTGTGTATCTGAAATTCAAACTTAACTGGGCATCCTCTGTTTTACTTGTTACATCTGCCAACTTAGCTCAGCAGGCTACCATGGGGGCAAATATTGGGCACACCGTGGAGGCAAGGAAGAGAAAAAATCAGTGGGGAGAAAGACAGGGGAAGGGAGTGGCTGTTCTTGTCCCAGTTGTCACACCCGAGGACCTCCATCAACAAATACTTATCACGCACTTCCTATGACGGCCATTGTGCTCAGCCTGGGAGCCTGTGGGGAATGGGGCACTTCCGGGCATCCCCAGCTGGCATCTCAAGGCACCTCTGGTCTTGTGGGAGAGGCACTCGGCAATTTATCACACAAATGATAAATCAGAGTTGTGACAAGTGCTATGAGGGACAATATGGAAGTCCAAGCCAGCCTTCAACGGGATGGAACCTAGCATGGGGGCAGGGGGCGGGGGTCATCAGAATCTGTGTGCCTTTCCCTCAAGTGAGTTCTAGGAACTGTCCTCTCCATCTGGTACAAAGAAATCCCCCCAGGGTAACTGAGGACAGACTTACACACACACACACACACACACACACACACACACACACACACACACAGCCCACACTCCTGGCCCCTACAACCTCAGCAGCTTTGGTGCAGTTGTGTGCTCAAGTCTTGAATTAGCTCTCCATATCTTTCCTTTGAACTTGACCCACGCTCTGATATCACTTTGGTTGCCCCCGTGCTCACAGGTGCACCTGCATTAACAGCAATCAGCACAGGGCCACCCCCAGCTGCCCAGACCAGACGGCCTTGACTCTGAGAGCTGTAGCCACCCAGTGGGCTTCACGACCCTGCCAGTCCGTCCAGTACCATCCCCTCCTGGCTTTCCTCCACTCTGCAGGCGGCCACCCATGCCCTCCTGGCGGCCCTGTCTCCTGCCTCCTCCGTGCATCTCCGAGGTCTCAGTTGCTTCCAACTGAGCCGTGGTCCCATCCCAGCGCCCTGACCTCAAAGCCGCCCAGGGGGCTGCCTTTCTGCCTCTGCTGCCTTGGAAGACTCCCAGAATCAGCGTTCCGGAGCAGCGCCAGGCCAGGAGCCGATGGACACTGCTTGGGGGCCCTCTACCACGTTCTTCCTGTCCCTTCTCCTGTTCTGTTCTCCTTCATCATCACTCTTTTCCCTAACGTATCAGCTCAGACACTTCCGGTGCGTGGGACAGAAAACAAATAATAAAATTCTAAATAGCTGCATAAACAGAATCAAGCAGGGGAAAGAGACAGTGGTGGGGCTGCAGTGGGAGGCAGGTCTTGGCTGGAACATCAGTCCCAGACCCGGAGCTGACGCAGGACCCCTGCCTCTTTCCAACTGTCCTGCCTCCCTGTACACACTTGCGTGTGCAATCGCGTCCATGTCCGTCTCTCCACCAGACTGTCAGCTCCTTGGAGGCGCAGGCCACCGTCTGCCCTAGCTCATCATTCAAACATCCCCCCTGCCTAGCCAGCACCTGGCACAGGGCGGACACCCACCAAATAGATGTCGGTTTCTTTCTTCATTTGACTCAGAGTACATGGGTTTTCCACCTGTTTTTATGACATCACATTATATGTCGGACCATTTTCCCTAGGTCAATAAAGGGCCCTGGAAAATACAATTTTAATAGCTTCCTGATATTCCTTCATGTGGATATCATCTCGTATTTAAAGATTTAAATGCATCTATTTATTTACTTAAATTTATTTTGCAGTTTCTCTGTTGTTGGACATTTAGCCCGACCTCAACCGGAAACGGAAGGCAGACACCTTCTTCTCTGGCGAGGGTCAGTGCTGGTGGTTGACACGAAGGCCAGTTGGATGATATTCAGACAAGCGACCCTGTGATTCAGAGCACACCGTGCCGCCATCCCTGGACCATATCCTCCATACACCCGTGGTCCCTACGTCAGCAGACCCTACCCTCAGGAGACACAGAAGTAGCAGGTGGCACAGCAAAGATGCACAGAAGGCCCCCGAATGACTTCCTTAAGGGAACCGTTGATTTACACAATGAACTGTGCTTTGCATCCTGCCCAGATCTGCACTCTGTTTCATTTGGGTAAAAACACAGGAGACGAACATTTTCCTTCACTGTTCTCCCCTTGTCGACCCTGTCCCCAGTGCCCGGATGCTGAGTCCCCGGCAGCATCTGGGCTCAGGATGGGGGTTGGATCACGTCCCTCAGCCCCCACCATCCACATCAGGGCTTGGCCTCTGCCCATGATCATATCCCTGATACAGCATCCGGCACCACACTCCTCCCCACTCCCTTAACCAATCACCCCCCACCTTACCCTCCGGGAGATGCTGCTCGCCTGTTACAGCTATCTGGATTTTGTGCCCCTGGAGCTGGGAGAGGGGCCGCATGTGGGTGCCCCGCCTACAGCAGCAGTGCATCAGACAGACGTGGCTTTCCCATCCCAGCGCTGTGCCGCCTACCGGCCCTCTCTGAGCCTTGATCGCCCCATCTGAATGTTGGGGATAGGGAGACTCCCTACTCGCCAGCATCATCACCAGGTACTTGGGATCGTCCACACCAAGAGCTTACCACGGGCACGTAGCCGGGGCTTGATGATTTTTAGCTGTTATTTTACGCCCAGCACCAAACTGAGCCAGCACAGAGTCAGGGCCCGTGAAGGTTTCACAGATCAATGACGAGACAAGGGAACAGGGGACCTGCTGCGTGACAGCAAGCCATGTCCCACACTACGACAGTCGGTTAGACAGTCCACATACCAGCTGCTCAACGCTCCACGGAGCCAAAAGCTTTGTTTGCCTGGCTGGTTTTTTTTTCCCACCAAACTGACTGTTTGTTTGGGTCTCCTGGAGACAGTCTGACAGCCCCTAAGCTCCTGGGCTTCACGGGTTTGTCAGGGAGACTGCTCAATTTCTAGACTGAGACAGACTTCAAACAGGATGCTCTTCAAACAGAACGCTCCACCGAGAGGCTGCCGGTGTTTTAAGACAGTCCGGGAGAGCAGGAGCCAGATGCACCCCAGCCTCAGCGTGGACTGCTGGTCCAGTTTGGGCTCAGGAGAGCAGGACTTGCAGAGACCGGATGTGAAAATGGTTTTGTGTCTGTGGGGTTTTACGACGGTTCTGGGGACATCAGAACCTCATTGAGAACTTGGCTCCCCAGCGCTATCCAAGAGAGACTGGCTACCCTTGAACCCTAGCATCATGTTTGTTAGAGCAGAGGGATTCATGCGATGCTCTAAGGACCGAAGAGGTGACAGAAAGGCCTTCGATGCACTAAGACATCACGTGCCATTTGTGGTGGGAGGCAGAAGAGCACAGGGACGGGGAGAGAGCGCGCTGCAGTCTGACCCTCACTAGCTGTGCAACTCTGGCAACACCCCTGAGCCTCAGCTTCCCTATCTGCAGAATGGGACTAATAATAGCACCTTCCCCACGGGGCTGCAGAGATGAAACAAGAGAACGAACGCGGAGTGAAGCCTAGCACAGTGCCCAGCACACAGTTATGTGCTCAGTTCAGGTCGGCTGCGATGATGATGATGGTGGTGGTGGAGGTGGAGGGAGAGGAAGTGGCTGCAGTTGGGGAGGGAGTGGAGGCGGGGCAGGTGATGGCGGAAGCAGTAACCATAGAGTTGCGTTGTCAAATTTAGGGACTTCTGCATCATACTGTGAGGAGCCACTCAGCCGTCGATTTGGCCGGTATGGGGGCTGAGAGCTTGCCCCCAGAGAAGTCGGGAGAACTCCAATCATCTGCTTTGCACTTGGTTCCCTACGGGCCTGCTGGTGGCAAGGACAGAGGGGAGGAGAGAGACCGGCGTGGGGGGGGGCGGTCTTGGGCACAGCCAGTCTATGCCACTTTGCCAGGTGGGCATTTCCCCACCACGGAGTCTCTGCAGGTAACGTGGAAGCCGTTCCCTGCAAGGAGCAGGATCCCCCCATCACGAGCGCCACGGGCACCAGGGCATCTTGCCGAATGAGGGGCTTCCCTACCATGTGCCCTTATTCCCCCCCCCCCCAGGCTCCCCCTTCAGGAACAGATGACAGAAGGCAGGCTGAACCATGCCAGTGACTTTCTCATACAAAGATCTCACTCCTGAGCTACCATGGGGTGGGGGGGGGGGGGGGGCTTGTGCTTGGCTACTTCTCTAGGACCCTGTCGTCCCAGCCATGTACTCCTTCACCCAGCCCCAGCGACCTGTGTCAGGCATCAGCTAACTGATTTGTCTGGAGGAGGAATCCTGGAACAAAGCAAAACCACACGAGCTTCTTGGGGATCAACCCCAGGACCTTAACCTCAGCAACGAGGCATGGAAACCAACACCCCCACTCATATGGAACACCATACGAGTACTGTTTTGAATTTAGAAAGAAAATGAGCAAAACGGCCAAAATCTGATGAGCTCAAAGTTCCAAAATCCAGAAGCTTTGGCACCGTGACTGACCCAGTTCACCTTCTGGTTCTGAGAACTTGGACAGCTGAACAGCAGGGAAACTAAAGGAGGAAGATGAACGACATTTGCTTTGACCCCTTCACTTTTCAGAACCCCTTTGACATCTCCCACCTTCAGTGACCCGTAGGCAGCACCCGGGTCTGCCCTAGGAGGAAACTGAGGCAGCAGAAGTAACCCCAGTGGGTGACTATTCCTGATAATGAGCCGTAACGAGTCACATCACTTATGCACAGCTTGTCCCTCTGGGGCCCAAAAAGTCCCTGAGCCAGAGACACAATGTGCCCTAGGCTGTGAGGCACAGCACACACTCACTCCTCACCTCCTCCCACCTCAGCTGCTGGGGATGGAGCTGGAAAAGGAAAAGGAGCAGGGCAAGAGACCCAAGGCCTGGCTTGGGCTGTGCAGACTTCCAGTCTCTACCGCATTTTATGGGAATCCTGCGTTCTAGTTTTTTCTTCTTGTAATCCTTTTCCAAGGTGTCATGGCAAAAAAAAAAAAAAAAAATCAGCCCTCATAAAAGGCAAGCTCATTCGGGTTCCTCCCGTAGGTCACTTCGCTTAGACCCAACATCACCAGACGAGCCATAAGCTCGTTCCATCCAGGCAGCCCCTTTCCTCTTCCACAAAGAGGCGCTCGGGGGCTAACCCAACACTGAGCAACACACTCCTGCTGATTTAGTTGCAGCCCCAGCAGGAAATGAGCTGGCAAAAGGGATGGTGAGTACAGGGTGGGAGTGGGGAAGGAATAAGATGGGGGAAGCCAGGAAGGCTAATACTCACGGGGCATCGGTGGACCAGCCAATACGCCTTCTCCTGGCAATCCAGTGCATACCTGTCTGCTTTAGTCCTTTCCTTTCCAGTCCTGAGAAGCCAAAAGCCACATAAAGGCCAGTAAGACTTCACATCTTTTGCTCAGTGAGGTACCCCATTCCTGATGACCCAGATGACTCTCCCCACTCTCCAAATACTCTGTGTTTGCCGTAATAATAATCACAGCAAACACTAACATCACATGAGTACTGACTCATTTAATCCTCCCAGTGACCTCATCCCCCTGACTTAGCAGCTCCAGGGACTACAGCAGAGAGAGACTGAATATGCCCCTCGGAGGGTCACACTGTCAGCAAGGAGCAGAGTGGGACTTGAACCCGCATCAGGCCCCAGGGTCCAGCTCTGCCTGAGAGCAGAGCACTGTCAACATGCCACCCCAGTGTGACCGGCCCCAGCATCGGACCTCCACAACCTGCACCACTGCAGCAGGTGGAGGACATTCTGGACTGACATTTCAGCCCCTGGCTTCATGTTTCCCTGCCTCGATAAACAACATCGTCAACATCTGGACAAGTGGGCAGCAGGCCGCGCCCACGCTCAGTGCCGGGGAAAAATGCGGGGCCTCGGGGGGTTGGGGGGTGGTCCACGTGTCTCCCCTCTACCCGGGCCGCTCCGTCGCTTCAGAGACTTTGTGCCAAGTTAGGGTTTTCCTAGACCTCACTGATGATCGTAAAAGGTTATTTATTTTCCCTCTTTTCTCTCTCTCCCCCTTTCCCCACGATGGAGAGGAAACGATGCTGTGCTCTCCTCCCAGGGAAGCCGGGCCACGTTAATGATCATGCCATGGGTCCCCTCCAGCACCATTTCCACGGCGACCTGCGCTCACACGCTGATGCTTGCATGCCCAGGCAACGTGGGATGACGCACATGCCCTCCACAAGACAGAGACGGCAGATTTATGGGCCCACTAGTGTATTGTGAATAACATCATCACATCTAGAGAGCCAGATGGGTGGAGAGTGCCCTTCCGGCAGGCTGTTTTGCCAACCTCCCCTGGAAATTAAATATAAACACTGTCACTTCAACTTCCCCTTGCCAGCCTAACTGCATTTTCCACCAGGTTAACGACCCTATGGCCTCAGGAGGATGGGCCACAGACGGCCCAGGGCACTGCGGAGTCTCCATCATGCTGGAGAGCCTGGTAAATACAGTAGGTCGCTAATTGACAATAATGGTCCTTTCTGGCTTTGCTCTGCGGCTCTTCTGTGACAGATGAAAGAGGAGACACTCTCCCTCTCTCTCTCTCTCTCTCTCTCTCATGTGAGGACACAAGAAGGCAGCCATCTGAAAGCCAGAAAGAGAGTCCTCACCAGAAAGTAAGCCCTGCCATAACCTTGAGCTTGGACTTCCCAGCTCCCAAAACTGCGAGAAAATAAATGTCTGTTGTTTAAGGCACTCGGTGTGTGGTGTTTTGTCGTGGCGGCCTGAGCGAACACAAACACATATACCATGCCCTTGAGTAGCTTTTGGTCTAAACACTGAACAAAGAGGAAATAGAAAATCACAAATTGCAGGATGAGCTCTCAGGAAAAGTTCAGGTGCTCTAATGCAGAATCAGGGAGGGCCACTGTGGTGCTTTTTAAATATGTCTACAATTCGGGGCACCTGGGTGGCTCAGTCATTAAGCATCTGCCTTCAGCTCAGGTCATGATCCCGGGGTCCTGGGATCGAGCCCTGCATCGGGCTCCCTGCTCTGCAGGAAGCCTGCTTCTCCCTCTCCCACTCCCCCTGCTTGTGTTCCCTCTCTCGCTGTGTCTCTCTCTGTCAAGTAAATAAATAAAATCTTGAAAAAAATAATAAATAAATATGTCTACAATTCTTTGACACTCCTTCCATTGCGGGGGGGGGGGGGGGGTCCTATGTCCTCCACTCCTGGAAACCAGGTGGGTTTCTTGGGACTTGTTCAACGAACGCAGTATGTCAGAAATGGCCCTCTGTGATTTTTGAGGCTGGGCCATAAAAGGTGAGACAGCTACCTCCTCACTGGAATGTTTGCCCTCGAGGCTTCCAACCACCTGTAAGCAATGTGACTGCCCCAGTACCACCATGCTGTGAGGAAGCCCAAGGCACCCGGAGAGGCCCAGAGGCCCCATGACAAGGACACGAAATGCCCAGCCAGGGCTACAGGCCGCCAGCTCCAGCCCTTGGCCTGCAACCACTTGAGAGACTCAGATCTAGGACTGCCCAGCGAAGCCCTTCCCAAATTCCAGACCAAAAGAAACCTTGAAAAATAACAGAGCAACTGTTGCTATTTTGAGCTACTAAGTCTTAGGATGATCTCTGTTCACTAACAACTAATCAACAAAACCTCTTTGAGCATGTGACATTCGAACTGAGAGATCTCTCTCTGAAGGGTGACAGGACCCTATCTGGGTTTCAAAAATGGGGGCAAATGGGAGCAGAGAGACCATTTGGGAGGACATGGCCACAGCCTGGGTGACAGTGAGGTTGGTTCAACCAGGGCAGGGAGGTGGGGGCTGACAGAAGGGGGCAGGTGGGGCGGAAGGAATTTTGCCAGGGGTGGCAACAGGACCAGATTACTAGACACTGGGCATGGGGGCTTAGAGGCAGGAGGTGAATGGGGTTCCTTGCACTGATGTGGGTAACACTAGAGGAAGAGGTTTGGTGTATGAGGGAGAGAAACATTCCATTATGAACAAGTTAAGTTTGAGGTGTGACATCATCCTGAGATGTTAAGTAGCTGGATACTGAGTCTGGGTTCAGAAAAGAGGTCTGTGTGTAGAGGTTCAGTATAATAAAATGGCTACCTCATGAGCCAGCCTACACGGCCAACCTAATTTTGTGCTAAGACCCTGTGTTTGTATTAATCAGGGTTCTGCAGAGAAAGAGAAACAGTAGACTAGATAGATACGTAGATAGATAGATAGATAGATAGATAGATAGATAGATAGATAGAGGCACAATTTATTTATTTTAAGGAATAACATACATTGAGGAGTCTGGCAAGTCTAAATTCTGCAGGACACACCAGCAGGCTGGAGAGCCAGGGAAGGGCTGATGTTGCAATTTGAGTCCAAAGGCAATCTGGAAACAGAACTCCTTCTTCCTCAGAAATCCTGTCTTTTCTCACAAGGCCTTCAACTGATTAGTAAGGCCCACCCACACTATGGAGGCAATCTGCTTTACTCAAAGTCTACTGATGTAAATGTTAATCTCATCTAAAAAATACCTTCACAGGGGCACCTGGCTGGTTCAGTCGGTGGAGCATGAGACTCTTGATCTCAGGGTTGTGAGTTTGAGCCCCACACTGGGTGTGGAGATTGCTTAAAATTCAAAAATTAAAAAAAAAAAAATAACTTCACAGTGTCATCTCAGACTGGTGGTGGCCCAGCTCTCTAGGGCCCAGCTATCTAGGCACCATGGTCTAGACAAGTTGACACACAAAATTAGCCACTGCAGACACGAAATCTGAAATTGGAGGCAGGCTTTGAGTCAAGCAATGGAATTAGTGGAGAAAAGCCAGGATCTCAGAAGGAGAGAGCCTTTTATGAATTTCTCATCCCAAGGCATCTAGAAGTGATGGAGGAGAAGATGTCCTACGACACGGGCAGCATGGAGCTTTATCTAGGCGAAGGCATGAGTGGTGGGGCCTGTGGGAGCCACTGAAAATAGCCCGGAGCTGTAACAGGCAGCTAGCATGTCCTGAAAGGCGTATGTCAGGGTCTGCAGTCCTCAGGATCACTGGGCTATCCTGCTCAGAGCAGAGAACTGGAGGATGAAAGGGTTCCAGCCCAGTGTGGAACCCAGTAGAAAATCAAAACTGGTGCACTGACTGGAACTAAGTAATACTAGCCCAGTCTCGACCATTACCTCACAGAGTGACCTTGCCATGGACTGTTTAAACTCTCTAAGCCTCACTTCCCCATTTGTGGATGTAAGGGTGACAAGAATTACTGCTATGAGCACTTCCCTCTCACCAACATGAAAGGAGACAGTACACAGGACTCACCCCATGAAGCCTTATGAACAAATACAAGTGATGGGAAGTTAGAGCATTCCCCCCAACTGCTCTGTCTCAAACATACCTAAGCAGAAACATGTCAATGGTGAAAGGCCCAGGCCAGGTCTCTGAGTAATGCTCCTCTACCTGAATCCCAAGCCTCAGAGCAGATATTCCCCCTTCAAGGCAATAAAGCCATCTGCCATTAGAATTTTTGTGCTTCCGGACCCAGCACTCCTGCATAACAGCGCTCACCTCTTGTGATGGCTTATTTTATGTGTCAACTTGACTGGGTTGCGGGATGGCCAGATATTTGCTCAAATATTATTCTGGGTGTGCCCCTGATGGTGTTTTCAGATGGGGGTATTTTAAGTTGAAGACCTGAATGGAACAAAGGGGATGATACTCCCCTAAATGACAAGGAATTCCTCCTGCCCGATGGCCTTGAGCTGGGACATCAGTCTTCCTGCCTTCAGACTCAACTAAAACACCAGCTCCTGGGTCCCCAAGCCTGCCAGCCTTCAGACGAACCTAAACCACCAGCTCTTCTGGGTCCCCAGACTACCAGCTGCAGGTCTTGTAACGTCTCAGCCTCTGTAATTGTGTGAGCCAATGCCGTATCATAAATCTCTTGATATACATACATACATATATATCCTACTGTTTCTGTTTCTCTAGAGAGCCCTAACTAATCCCCACTATTCCAATCCTAAGGCTGCTTGATGAGAGTCCACTGTCCAGCCCAACTATGCACCAGTTTCTAGACCTTCCAGAAACTGGACCTGCCAGAGTGAGCCTGGGCCAGCCAGACTTACCCATTTTGGTAATATATGGTATCAGTCTCCGGATATTCCTGACTCCCCTATGTCACAGGCACACGGTAGGATTGTACATCCCTACCCAAATGCCTTTGAAGTTGGGCACAACCATATGGGGAGCTGCTTTGGCTAATGATTTGTGAACAGAAGTGACATCCATCACTTGTGACCCGCACAGGCTCTGCCTCCCTCTGCTCCAGCAACAGGCAAAGGCTGGATGGTGCTGCTCCTTCAGCATGGCTTCTGGAGTGGGCACAAAGCACATCAGGGCCCCCACCAACCCACAGTGGACATGTAACACAAGCAAGAAATGAACCTGTGGTTTCATGCTCTCAGGACCTGGGGGCTGTTTGTTATGACAACCTGACCTTGTCCTGACTGATTCACTCTCTCTAACATTTACATCTGGCTCTCAGACACAAGGCAGAGCCTTCCAGGGACTTCCGGCTCTAGTTCTGAAGTGGACAGCAGGCAAAATGAGAGCTGCAGTGAGTGGTTCCACTTAAGATCTTTTTATGGCTCCCGTGGCTCCCCATGGCCCTTCACACAAAACAGTCTCACGATCTACTCCTGCTAACATCTCGGGTCTCACTTCTGTCAGTCCCAGCCTCTATGCCTGGGACTCAAAGCCTTTGACTCTATGCCTTTGACTCAAAGCCTGCCTCCAATTTCAGATTTCATGTCTGCAGTGGCTAATTTTGTGTGTCCACTTGTCTAGACCATGGTGCCTCTGCTCCAGCCACACAGAACTGCATCAAGTAGGCGTTCCCTGGACTCCAGACTCTGGTTCTGTCTGCTTAGAAGATCCTTCCTTATACCTCGCCCTTCCTCTCCATCCACCACCACCATCGTTCACCTGGAAACTCCTGTGCAGCCTCCAGGTTCAATGTTGTTTCTCCAGCTCCTTCTGGAAACCCCTGTGTGAGGCACTCACTTCGGTGTAGCATCATGGCCTGTTTCCTCATCCGCCTGATCCCAGACTGTGCCTTTATACTCCCCAGGCCTAACCCAGTGTTTGACACATAATGCCCAATAAAGGTTTATTTGAATTAAAGGAAACAAAGAAGGAAGGGAGGAAGGAAGGACAACCAGTGGACAGACATCATCTTTTGCTTACCTGTATTGCTCTTTGGCCTGCATAATGACAAAGTCCCATTTGTAGTTAATTTTTTTGTTCAAGAAATCATAATTTTCCTAGAAATGGAAAACGAAAAGAACACTAAGCCCCATGACATACGCTGTGTGCAGAGGGCAGAGAGCTCTAAGTCAATGAGGGCATGCCTCTGGCCCTGCAGCAACCTAGCCCCAGCCAAATGATCTCCCATCCCAGCTTTGCAAAGACATGCATTCAAAGGGTAGCACCAAATTCTCAAAAAGCCTTTACAGTAAAAGCCACACCCTGGCTTGGATTTTTTTTTTTTAATAAATGTATCCCAAATCTGATTAGGAAGAGGAGAATAGAGTGGGAGAAAACTCAGAAACCCAGTATTCAATGACAGAGCATCACAAATGCACAAAGACAAGTCCTAACATTGGCATGATGCTGGCTCTTCCAAAAATATGTCTGTAAATAATAAAAACACAGCAAGATTAAGGCTGTCTGCCCAGAAATCTAGGCTTTTGAAGGCTTGGGTGTGTTCTTCGAGAAATCTGACTCACCTGGCCTAAAACAAAAGCTACACTATTGTCTTCCCATCACAAACTCAAGTTCAAATCTGTTCATCACATAATATCCATTACCATGCATATTAATTGTCTCATGTTCTAGGACAGCAAAAAGAATGTAGTAGCTATTGTGTGTCCAGTAGTCACTGAGGCAAGAGCTTAAATTACAGCAGGAGAAACTGAAGTTTGACATGGGGAAGAATTGATTTCAGGAGCTGCTTCTAAACAGATAGATGGATGAATGGTGGATGGATGGATGGATAGATGGAGGGATGGATGGTGGATGAATGAATGGATGGTGGATGGATAGATGGATGGATGGTGGATGATGATGGATGGATGGATAGTGGATGGATGAATGGAGAGTGGGTGAATGGATGGTAGATGATGGATGGATAGACAGTGGGTGGATGGATGGATGATGAATGAAGGGTGGATGGGTGGATGGATGGATGGTAGATGGATGTCTGGATAGATAGTGGATGGATGGATGGACAGTGGGTGGATGGATGGATGATGGATGAAGGGTGGATGGGTTGGTGGATGGATGGATGGTTGGACAGATAGTGGATGGATGGATGGATGGATGGATGGTGGATGAAGGGTGGATGGGTGGGTGGATAGATGGATGGTGGATGGATGGATGGATGGTGGATGGATGGACAGATAATGGGAGGATGGATGGATGGATGATGGATTAAGGATAGATTGATGGTGGAAGGATGATGGATGGATGGATAGATGGATAGATGATGGATGGATGGATGACGATGGTACATATGACGTAGCAAAGGAGGAAGAGAAAAAAAATAGCTCAAGACTTTATTCCAAATATAACAACTTGTACTTGAAAGCATCTCTGTACCTTCTCATATTCTTCTAAAATCCCTTTCTTCTTTATATTTCGCTTGGCTAAATAGATGGCTGGAAAAGAAAACAATGACATTTTCCATCATCATCGTGTTTTAAAACTGCATCTGCAGCCTTTACGTGCATGAGGCTGCTGTGCTTGGCTTGGTGGGAAGAAGTCTCAGCAGACCCCTGCTCCCTTCCCTGAGAACACTCCCAATACAGATGTGAACTGACATAAAGGTCATGATGACAGCAAGACAAATGTCACCAAAATGCGGCAAGTAAATAAGCAGCATGTTAAGCGCTACCAAAAGCACAGGGGGCTGGAGTTTTACCATAGTCTGTATCTTCAGCCGGCCACTGCTGGGTGGGCCAGAAATACGGCGTCTACAAAAGAAACCAGGAAGCCATGCTTAAACACTGGGCTGTGACTGTCCCCCTGGGACCCCAGCCCTGTGGCTTGAGATGAAACTACTTTAGCCCGCCTACCATTTCTAAAGTTCTGATCTGTGAGGATATGAAACCACACAATTACCTTCTCAGATAAGATTAATCCCATATTAACACCAAGGTCAAGGCCAAGACCTACCTGAAATCGGTAGAGGCTGTTATCAGGCTTGAGGACGAGATTCCTGGGATCTTGCAGGGGGTAAATGTAGCCATACTTGACAATAAAGCTGCCCAAGTTCTGTGCCTCTGAGAAGAAACAGTTAAGACACGGAAGTCAAGAGCAGACACAGAAGGCAGAAGCTCACTGCCCGACCCCCACACAGCACCCCAAACTCCAGGAGAGGTGCCCCCCTCCTAACAGCACTTCATCCAAGGAGTGAGGACAGTGGTTCCTGAACTTGGCTATGGGCAAATATCAGCTGGGGAGCATGGTAAGAGGAAGCTTCCCACAGCCTGACCCCCGAGAATGACAACTCCTAAGTCCAGGGGGAGCCAGTGAACCCAAATGTTAATGGGTAGCACAGGTGGTCCACTACAGGTGTTTGGAGAAGCTTCTTTGGGCCCTTTGGGTCTGGAGAAGTCCCCAGGAGCAGGGAATGTCTCTAACCTACAGAAAGTTCCTCACTCAAAGAGGAAAGCAAAGAGGAGGCCAAGTTTATTGTCAACTTCTATCCCAAGCTCAATTCTGCTTGCATCCCGGGCCCAGATTCCACGCCCCCTCACCTCACTTTAATTCCCACCCACCTTCACTGAGCTTGGAAACACACTCTTGTTTCTGGATTTGCATCAGTTAAAGGAAAACCTTCCTGGCTCTTTCTCAGAGGCACCAGTGAAGCAGGTGTCTTCCCCTCCATCACTGAGAGAGAATTCCATCCCTCCAGTCCTCAGGCCCAAGGCCCCAACCCATATCCCATCCCCCACCTCAGCCTCCAAAGCCTGAGAAGACTTTCTCCCTGTATCTCCTTCTTCATGTCTCGCTCCCTCCGTCATCAGGTCTCATGTTTTATGCCTTGTTGTAGCAACAGCCTTTTTTTCTAGTGGGAAGTCTGTTCCTCAGATTCTTTCTGTTCCGATCCGTCCCTCAAATTGTTGCAAACATCCCAGCTTACATATGATTATCATGCATACTGCCATGCTCAAAAATCCGCCATGGCTTCCTATTACTTGTCTCCCAGATAGAACTTGGAATTTGCAGGGGCGCCCGGGTGGCTCAGTCAGTTAAGCATCTGACTCTTGATTTCGGCTCAGGTTGTGATCTGGGGGTCCTGGGATCGAGCCCGGAGTCAGGCTCAGTGCGGAGTCTGCTTGGAGTTCTCCCTCTCCCTCTGGCCCTCCGCCTGCTCACTGTCTCTCTCTCTCTCTCTCTCAAATAAATCTTTTTTTTTTTTAAAGCTTGCAATTTGCAAACATGCCAACTATACTCCTATCCCTACCCCTCCACTACCCTCCACACCCAGCTGAAGTCATTTCTCCCAATTTCCACTTGTTCCCGCTCCCTGTCTCATTCATTCCATTTCTACACCACAGCTCCTGCTAGTTCCCCCAGGAAGACAAACCCTCAGGGCTCCCCTCCACAATTCACAAGCATCCCTTCTTTCGAAACCAGCTGTATGTGTGCATCACCCCCTCCAAGAATTCTGTCTTGGCTGATTCTTCCCCAATTACCCATTATTCACGTGCTCTCAATATTTTGTATGAAACAATTATTTTCCCCCCCTGATTATCACGCCATCACTTTTGATTTGGGTTGTTTTACACATGAATGCCTTGTCTCTCTGATGTCAACTTCTCAGAGACAAAGGTTAAGCCTCTGCTTAGTCTCTACCCTCCAGAGATTCTTTGGGGGCGCTGCACACAAAGCTGTCCTTGTTGCCGGGGTGCCGGATGAGCTCTCACCCAGATTAGAGATCCAAAGCCGCTGGGCGATCCACTGTAGAACGTCACTTCCTGCAAACCAGAAGTATTTGGCCATTGTCAGAGCTTCTAAGCACATCCCCTGACCTCTACACCCTCCTCCACGCTGTTGCCTGACTGGTCTCCGCTGGGCTCAGCTGGGATCTCGTCCCTCTTCTGCTCCAAGCTTTCAGGGACTCCACTCCACTGCCCCCTACTATGTTCACTCCAAACCCTGCAGCCCATGATGCAGGGTCATCCAGGATCTGACTCCAGCCAGATTTCTCGTTGAACGTCCCCCACACACCCTCGATAGTACTTATTTTCTTACAACAATTTGTGCATGGACTATCAGTCATCAGATAGGAAGTAAACAGCCTAAGTCTTAACACTGGAATAAAATCAGACCTAAGGGCGTGCTGTCTGTGGGGCTCCAGATGGAGCCTGGTCACATGAAGGTAAATCAGAGCAAGAGATGGGAGGAAACATGGGGATGAGCTAAGGGTGAGGGGACGGTTCTCCTGGACTCCCAAGTTCCCAGGTGGAACTCCGAGGAGTCAGAAAATGCCAAATTCAGACCTGGCCTCCCAGGTCATTGTGAAGGTACTTTGGTCAAAGCAGGAGGATGGGACGTATTTTGGTAACACTCTGAGGGCTGATTTATAACTTCGGACAAGGGGATGTGAACTCCACTTGTAGTCCTGCCCTGGGCTCCGCAAGTCTTAGGGGCTGGCTGGGGACAATGCAGAGTGAAGACTGGTGTGAAATAAAGCAGAAGAGGATGACAGGGAGGAGATCAGGGGAGGTCAGAAGAGAACCAGCATGCCCCCTCCCACCCATTCCCCAACGATGCAGTTTTATCTCAGGGCCAAAGCAAGCCAAGTTCCACCAACAATCCAGAACTGTCATTGGACCGCAAGGAAGCTGCGTGCTTCCGCCTCACCCTGGACCCTGCAGCCCCATAAGCAGAACAGGCTCCTTGGAGGAGGAGGGTGATAGCAACTCCGAGGACAGACAAGATGCCCTGGAACCAACCACTCCAATTCAGACGCCATCTTGCAAACACCAATGACCACATGTTCCAGCAACTTCAGCCTGCTTTACAAAGGCCAAGCTTGGCCCTGACTGCATGGGAACTGGCCCAGAGAACATACCAAGAAGGAGGAGTCAGGTCTGAGACCCCACTGCTTGTGTCCTTGTGGCTAAACGTTTCCAAATCCTTCCCTCCTCAGTGGTAGCGAAGGGGCATTTCTTCCGGGTCCCTCCAGGGAAGGCCCTTATGACCCACTCACACACTGTCTGGGCTTAATTACCTGCCCATGGCGTGGCTAAGGATGGACAACCTGCAATTCTCATCTTCCTCTCCATGCCTGGGGGCACAAGTGTCCAGAAATTACCTCTGTCTATGCCCACATGCCCACTGTTATTGCTTTCAGTGGGTTCTCGTCTGTTGCTCTTAGTTTCATTCACCCCTGGTTGGCTGTTCTAAAGCAAAATTCTTCATCTCAAATCCTACATAAACTCCTAGCTAGGACTGGGTGTTTTAGACTTTCCACCTGGGGTCTCCTTGAATGCTACTCAGAGGTATGCAGACCGAGAGAGAGAGAGACCCAGGCAGACAGCAGACTGATTAGCGCTCTCCACCAAGGAGCCGAGGGTTTTCTCATCCACTTGATTGCTTCCTAAAATAGACCGAATAAGATTACAGGCCACCAGCGTCTGCACCACGTGGTTTGTGGAATAGCGTGGCAGGCTCCCAGATCAGCCACCTTTATCCCCAGAAGTCCTGGGTCACCTGCCACCTGAGGAGTTGTGTGCCGATTACCCAATTTGTTTGTAACAGAGCTGATGCATGACCCAAGGCTTCCCCCGAGTCCTGTTCCAACGGCAGCTAAAATTCACCCACAGGAGGAAGACGAAAAAACACGGCAGGTGGGCAGCCTCACCCAAACCTGGGAACCAAGTGTGCCCTGTGTGCAAGGAAAGAAAGTAGCTTATGCATACTGACAGCAGATAAGGGGACGGACACTGGAGTCACATTGCTGGGGTCAGATCTGAGCTCAGCCATGTGCGAGTTTAGTAACCGGGGGACCAGTGGCTGAACCTCTCTACTTGTCCATGGCCCCATCTGCAAAAAGCAGACGGTCCCATCGACCCCGAACTTGACCGTGGGTATTAAGTGACACAATGTGGGAAGTTGCTAGCTATCGCCACACATCAAGCATCCGTGCTTGCTGACAGGCCGCGGGCCGAACTTGGACCTCGAGCTACAGATTGCCAACCCCTGCATGTGGATGGTCCCAGGCCAAGACTAAGTCACAAGATACATTACCTGTCATGGCGTGAGGGACACTGGTGACCAGAACCTTCTGGCTCTGCATTCTAACCCCCGTCTCCGGATTCTGCATGTCCTTCACTAGGGCTTCGATCTGCAAAACAGAACCAAAAACACTGGCTGACCAGAACTGTTTCAAAAGCCAAGCAAGGCCCCTTTCTGCAGCACCGAGGGAGCAAAAGATGGGAAGGGGAGTACATGAGGAATTTGCGACCCGCCTGGACACTGAGTAATTCCAACACAACCAGATTCAACATGTGATTCACAGACACAAACACCCTCACTGGGTGCAGGAGCTCGGAGAGGTGTGCCCAGACTTGGAGATTCTGCACAGACTCAGAGGAGAAGGGGAGGCTCAAAAAAACGAGGATTTTGCTGGACAGAAAGTGAGAAGCCACAGACGTCGGTGCCCAGGGCGAGAGAGGGACAGACAAGGGGGGTAGATGATGCAGGAACGACAGCCAGGGGCCGGATCACAACAGGCCTCGAAGGCCGCTCCCGGGGCATGCATTGGGCTCCCGCAGTGACTGCTGGGCAGTGGCATGGTTCCGCCCAAGCTCGGGAAATGTGGCCCACGACAGTGAAGAACGCTGAAGTATGAGGAAGTTTGCCAAGAAGGAGAAAAGGGGAGAGATCCATTTGAAGCTACTGCAATGGTCCCAGAAAGAAATGGTGGGGCTCCCTGCTTGCCACTTCTGCCCCATGGTGTCTTCCCAGATGAGCAGCCAGAGAGAGTCTTTCAATTATTTTAGAAGGTGTCACTCCTCTGCTCGAAACCCTGCATCGGCCATTCCACTCAAGGCAATGGCAGAGTTCCCCTACTGGTCTATGTGGTTGGGACCCCTTCCTCCCTTGACTCTCCCCCCACCACCGCCCACCTGGCTCCCTCCGATCCAGCCACACTGGCCACCTTGCTGCTCCCTGCCCATGCCAAGCACATACCCAGCCTTCTGCCCCAGGGCCTTTGCTCTGGCTTTTCCCTGTGCCTGGACTGCTCTTCCCTATGTAACTAACTCACTCACCAGCTTCTTCAGCTAACATGCCCAAGAGGCCCACCCTGACCATCCTACTTAACACTACAACCTTGAACTCCTGCCATTCCTGATCCCCTACTCACTTTTTCGAGAGCACTCACCCTCTAACATGGGAAATTATCTGCCCATCGATCACATTGCTTACTGTGTGTCTCCTTTGTTCCTAGAAGGTAAGCTGTTCAAGGGCAGGTCTTCTGTCCGTTACGGCCTGATGCTGTTATCGTGCATGCTGGCATAGTGCCGGACACGTAGCTGGGACGCAATAAGCAGCTGGTGCACGAGTTAATATGTAAATGAAGGCAATGGCAGGGGCGACAGGAAGGCACCCCTTTTAGAGCCCTAGTTAACTCGAGTGAACTGTACTTGCAAGTGATTGACTTGTTCAGTGAGGATGGCAAAGTTTATAACTCCTATGCTCAGAGGTGCCGGTTCCCAAAATAGAAAATGTAGGAAGTGCCAAAAAGAAGGTGCACCTTCTGAAAGCAAAAGCTCCTGCTTTGGAATGCTGACTGAGCTCGCCACGGTGTCTGGCAGGTGACAGGCAATGAATGCCCCAAATGCAAAAGAGATAAGGGTCAGAGATACAAATTAGTCACGAGCATCGGAGAGAGGTGAAGCAAAGCAAACCAGTGAGCTGTCCAAGGGAGAGCGAACTTTCTGCAGGAAGACATCCATCCACAAGGATGGCCCTGGTGCTCTTTTTTTTTTTTTTAATTTTATTAATAAAAAATAGTTTTCTGCTTGAAAAATTGAAATGGAAGTAAAATCAACCAAAGGGTATTTTTTTTTATTTTATTTATTTATTTGAGAGAGAGAGAGAATGAGAGATAGAAAGCACGAGAGAGAAGAGGGTCAGAGGGAGAAGCAGACTCCCTGCTGAGCAGGGAGCCCGATGCGGGACTCGATCCCGGGACTCCAGGATCATGATCTGAGCCAAAGGCAGTCGCTCAACCAACTGAGCCACCCAGGCGCCCAACCAAAGGGTATTTTAAAACAAACTGGATGGGATGGCACAGTTAAAAAAAGACAACCCACATGTGTCTCTTGTCAATGTTTATCATGGGCACTGACAAAGCCTCATGTATCCAAGGTTTCAAGCTTCCTGTTCCCCTAGAAAACCCCTCACTCCTGAAGAAACCACACATCTCCCAGCCTGCCATGTGCTTACTGTGGTCAGTCAGTCATTCAACAACCAGGCAGTCACTCTGGAAAACCAAAGATAAGGCGATGTGGTCCCCGAGCCCAAGGAGCTCACTGGTGCAAGGATATTATGGGACAACATGGGAGGTACAGTGACAAAGGTGAGTTCAGGGTATGATAAGAACACAACAGCGCCAGGAGAGGGTCAGGAGTGGGGACTCCTGGAGCGAATCTTAAAAAGATGAATAGGAATCAGGCACCAGAAAGTGGGGGAAGTGGCTCCGGGGAGAGCAGGAGCAGAAGCACAGAGTATGAATGGGCAAGTAGGAATGAAAACCTTCCCCGTCCTTCTCTGTCCGGAAACCCTCTCCTGCAAACAGCTGGATGTATCCTCCTGGAGGGCTGCATCTCAAACCCAAGCTGGCCACGTTCCAGCCGCTACGCAAACCAAAACAGGTCACTGATTCACCTGCTTCCCCCCAATTTAACTAACTTGGTTATCTCATCATTATTCTCCTGCTTTTAAATAAAATAACACTCCCGCGCTCCATACAGCCCTTTACAATTACCAGTCCTTCAGACATTGCATGGTGGCTGTGGTACAAAGAAAAGAAACCCACGGTTCTCACAGCTCCATGGGGCTTCCTTTCTCTAACTAACTGTGGGATTTCACTGGACCTCTCTGAATGTCCTTTCTCTACCGTGAAATGGGGACAGCGATAGTCTATGCCCAGGTAATTAACACACTCTTGCAATCTCTTAGAATCTCATTAATTGTGTAAAAATGTTTTACAAGGACAGATATGTTATATACTCATAAAGATATATACTTTATCAGGGCGCCTGGGTGGCTCCGTCGGTTAAGTGTCTGCCTTCAGCTCAGGTTGTGATCCTGAGGTCCAGGTATGGAGCCCAGTGTTGGGCTCCCTGCTCAGCGGGGAGTCTGCTTCTCCCTCCCATCCCTCTCTCTCTCTCTCAAATAAATAAAATCTTTTTTTAAAAAAAAAGATATATACTTTATTAGGAGAGATTCATGTTAGTGGTTATGGTTGGAATCATTAATATTAGTAGCTTTTGTATAACTAATGCATCTTTGAAACTTTGCATGCAGGCTGTGTTCAGACGCCTGCGAATAAAAACCCTGCTCTCCTCGCTGTTCAAATACAGGTATTTATTGAGCATGATTAAGTGTGCTGCACTGTGGGGGGTGATACAACAAGGTAAAATACATTCGCCTAGTCCACAGAGGACTGGGAAGACATTTATATGAAAATAAAAAGTTAACTAAGATACATGCTAGAGATCTGGGTGCAGAAAAAGCCCAGTTCAAATCCCTGCTCAATGTAGAAGCTAAGTAAATTGCTAAATTTCACCAGGACTCATTTCTCTGTAAAATAGAGATGACAATAGTACCTCTATCACCAGACGGATGTCACGAAGATTATCTGAGATTATGTCTGTCAACAAATGAATAAGGAAAATGTGACAGAGACACACAATGGAACACTGGTCAGCCTTTAAAAAGAAGGAAACTCTGCATCAATAAGGATGAACCCAGAGAACATTCTGCTATGGAGAACATTTTGCTAAGGGCAATAAGCCCGTCACAGAAGGACTGCATGATCCCACTTACGTGGCATACCTAAGTTCACAGAATCAAAGAGTTGGGATGGTGGTGCCAGGGGCTGGGGGAAGGGACACGGGGGGCGTTGCCAACCAACAAGCATCAGGTTTCAGCTAAGCAAGGTGCAGAAGCTCTAGAGATCTGCTCTGCCACATGGTCTGTACACTTCATAACGTAAGGGGGTAGATACAGTAAGTGTTCTTAGCACAATAAAATACAATTTTAAAAAGCAGGATCGACAGAGACTGACCCAGCTTCACTGGAGGTGAAGGGTCACGCAGGGGAACAAGCCTGAGGGCAGGCTGCACCTGCCCAGACACTTTCTCAGCTCACAGATTGTTCGGGAACAGAAACTATCCATTTTGGCACCATTCAGAGCTGCCAACCTTGGCCTTCTGCAGGGTCAGGGCCTGGTAGCGTCTTGGCCACTGGGTCAGCCTAGAGCTTCCAGCAGTGAGGGAGCAAAGGGGCGAGCCCAGCACTTCTCCACACGGTGGACCAAGAAGCAACAGATGGCGGGAGTCACTCCGTCCGCAAATTTATAGGCTACTCCAAGAAGTGCCTGATTTTCTGAGGTGCGGGCTTCGGCCTCCCCTTTCCCACATTAGCTGCCAGATGAAATCCCATATTTGTTCAAAATAATTTTTGGATGAAACAGCCATGTTTCATAGAAACAGGGGGCCCAGATATTGGAGAAGAAAGAGAAATTGCCTTATGAGTGAAAAATCTGAGTTCCTCCGAGAGAAAGTCGGCGGATTGGATTCCTTCTCTTCGTGTTAAGGAAAAAAAAAAAATCCAGTTATAAAGAGTTTGAAAATAATCTTCAGGGGAGGAATAATGAGAGTTATTTTAAAAACACAATGAGGGGAGTCACATTTCTCTCCAGCAGGTGTGTCACCGTTCACAGAAAAGAAGGGCCAGTGGGAGGAGGGAGCATCACATGAACCTCGAGAACAGTTTGAGGGCGTTCAGCCCAGTGCAGTTCCAATCAATTTTCCTTAGAACATTCCTCAGAAAAATTCCTCTGCGGGGTCTCCCCAGTCACCCAAGGAGACAATGAAAGACTCTGTTATGGGCTGAACTGTGTCCCCCCCAAAATGTGTATGTTGAAACCTTAATCCCCAGTACCTCAGAATGTGAGTGTATTTGGGGAGGGGGTCTTAAAGTGGCCATTAAGGTAAAATGAGGTCATTAGGAGGGCCCTGATGCAATACGACTGCGTCCTCATAAGAAGAGACTAGGACATGGGCACGTACAGAGGGAAGGCCATGTGAGGACATGGGAAGGAGACGGCCATCGGCGAGCCAAGGAGCGACGCCGCCGAGGAAACCAGCCCTGCCGACACCTGCTCTTGGATGTCGAGCCTCCAGAGCTGTGAGGAAATGAGTATCTGCTGTTGAAGCCACAGAGCCTATGGTACTTTGTCATGGCGGCCCCCCAAAAAAAGAGTAGACTCTGCATTCTCTCATCCACTCCAAGAGAATCCCAACCGTTTCCAAGTTCTCCAGAGAGCCAGCGAGAAGCCCTGGCCTTTCTACTCCAAAAGGCTGCCAACTCTCACACCTCCCCCTGGTGTCCCGTGGGCGTCCCCGGAAGACGAGGCAGAGGCCGGTTCCCCACCATCAAATGTCAAGGCCCACTCCCAACCAGACTCAGCCAAATCTCCTTCCCAGGCACGAATACATGGCTCACGGCCAGGTGGTGCTGGGCCGCCTGGGACCCTGTGTTGGGGGACGGGGCGGGGTGGGGGGTGCTGGCCCCACATTCCCTCTCTCAGAAGCCAACGTGCTGTGAGGTGACTGCAGGCGTGCCAGGGAACCCCGACATCCCAGAGGAGAGGCCACGGTGGCTTTGACGCCCCGACACCCCACCCTCCGCGCCCACACCGCTCCTCACATTAAGGAGCTGTCACTCGCTGTGCAAGATCTCCGAGCCTGGAATTTTCCTTCCAGCCGGAGAAGGCTCCCAGGGGGATGATAATAATCAGTCCTTCTCTACACAAAGAGGGGCAGAGTGACCCAGAACCACCGGGTCGTTTTGCGAATAGACAGGAAGGTGCCCCTGCTAACCAGCAGGGCCACACAGAGGCCAGCTGACGCCCCACCGCCTCACTCCGCCGTCTCGCACACCCCCGTGAGCCCCGTGCCCTCATCGGGACTCAGGGGTCTTTCCCCAAGTCCTGCTGCTCTTCCCACCTTGGTCAAAGGCCCAGGATGCATTCTAGATGGCCCCAGACAATAGCAGCCAACTTCTGTTGACTCTGCTTTTGTTTCTGAGGTGTGTCTTACCTGCCCCACTAAATCCTGCCTCATGGGCCCCTTGAACCTCCTCTCTGGACCATCAGGCTCTGCCTTCCTGGCATCTGCCTTTCAACTGGCACGTCTCCAGCCCCCAGTGTGTCGTCCTCCAGCCCAGGGTCCCCAACCGCAACACTACTGACATTAGGGCCCAGACCCTTCCTCGCCGTGGGGCCAGCTCTCCTGTGCATTGAGGGATGGCTAGCAGGACCCCTGCCTTTCTTTACCCTCTGGATGCCAGCAGCACCCTCGTCCCCAGATGTGACAACCCCAAATGTCTCCAGATCTTGCCAAACGTCCCCAGGATCTTTCGGCTTAGCTGTATAGTCAAATCCCCCAGAAGCTTTTTTAAAAACACCAATGCCTGGGCTCGGCAGCACTGAGTGACTTAACTACCTGGTAAGTAAATCAGAAACTCTAAGGACGGGAGACTTGATATCGGTCTATTTATAAGTGCAGCCAGTGTGGAGAAGCACTCGGACCCTCGAACCAGAATCATCCTTCTAGCACGTAAACCGACTCATTTTAAAACCTCAAACGGCTTCTCACTGAACGCAGAAAGCATCCAACTCCTCAGCACGACGTCCAAAGCCCCCAGGTCTGGGCCCTTCTTGACTAGCAGCCTTAGCACCCAACCACCTCCTGCTAACCCAGCCCCTCCCTGATGGCTCTCCCACACCAGCGTGCTGTTTGACACGTCTGTTTTGTATCTGCCTCTTTGTATCTGCTCATCTTCCCATCCTCCTGGCAAAGAAAACTAATTTCTTGTACCTCAACTCCGTTACAACCCCCCTTGTGACCCGACCCCCTCACCCCAGGCAGAACTGACCATCCCCCACTTTGTGCGACCTGTAGATGCGTACCTTTGTGTGTGTGTATCTCCTCTAACAAGGTCTGCCACGATCTTGAGACCACTTCTCTCCTTAGTTATGCATCTGTCTTTCTCTGTTAGACTCTAAGCTCTGGGGGGAAGGGTCTGTATCTTAATCCCCACAGGGTCCCCAGCCCCTGGCACGGTGCCCAGCACATAAGTGCACGATTATGTATTTGTGTTGAATGAAAGAAGGATACAAGCAAAAGATATCCTGCTCTGCCCACACCTCCTAATAGTTCTGTTTCTGCACTCCCTTCCCAAGCAAAAGCAGACGCCAGAAGCCACACCAGGAAGCACAGCATCTAACAGAAGGCTTCTCCATGTGGCACCACGAAAGTCAATGCCCTGGTGTTTCCCAAGGGCAGCGGCGACTGGTACTGGCGGGGATGGTGATCTGGACATCACAGAGGGGACAGGCCAGCCCTGGTACAGGAACCCACACGTGTGGCAGCCATAGGGGGCCATCCACCGTGCGTCACACACACACTGAGCACATGCCGTTCCCTCTGCCTGGAACATCCTTCTCTTTCTCTCTGCCTAGAACCCCCCCTTATCCTTCGGCTCTCGGCTCCACATCCCCCATGCACTTAAGTCAGGCCTTCCCACAGCCTCCTCTCTGCCCCAAGCTCATAGCATAGTATCGCATTTTGGCAACAGATGACGGTCAGTCCTGTATTTTTCCTGGTTCCACCCCTTAGTGGCTATATGACTGGGGCAGGTCACCTCTCTGACCTTCAGTTTCCTTCTCTGTAAATGGTGATGATAATGTCTGACTTGTGGACCGGTTGGGATAATGCAAGTACGCCCCCACTATGGGGAAAGAGCACACTTTATAGTCACTGAACATTTAACTGAATATTCCTTGAGTAGTGAATGACACTGCACCCATGTCCACATTCCTTTGGTCTGGGTCCTTCTCCAGAAGGCCGGACATCTAGTTCAGCCGGCTCATCGTGAAGGACCCCCTGGCAGGGCTCTTGAGACCTGCTCTAAGGAGCTCTGGGTGGGACCTGACTGGGGACCTCAGAACACACAGACAGGCAGGTCCCTCCCCACAAGGCAAAGGGAAAGAGAAGTCCTGGGGGTGTGGGCAGTCTGTGGGGCAGCGAAGGAAGTGGCTCAGCTCCAGGGGCTGGGGAGAACCGGCCTTCACAGCGGAAGAGTGGGAAGTTGGCAGGTGCGAAGGGCAGAAAGGGCTTTCCCAGGAAAGGAGCCTGAGGTATGAAAGGGCACAGGACTGTGGCTGCTTTGTTTTGTTTCCCTGGAGGTCAGGTCGGTGGGAGGGAAAGAGAGATGGGTCAATGCAGGATCCCAAGTGCCTGGGCTGAGCAGGTTGTACTTGATCCCATGAACATGGGAAGCCCGCGGAGGGTTTTAGGCTGAGGAGATCAGCGTTAGCTTAAGAAAGAAAATCAATGCGTTTATGAAGCATACTGTGGAGGTAAGCAGGCTGGGGGGGTGTGGAGGGAGGCTGGAAACCCAGACACCAGCCAGAAGGCCAGGTGAAGACAGGAAAATCTACCAGATAACAGTCATGATGGAATAGCGTGTCGAGATTCAGAAAACAGAATGTCTCCAGACCATTGCTCTCTGAGCCACCAAGCCAGAGCTGCCTAGGAGAATCCTGGAAGATGATTTATGGCTTTCAGATATCAGACTTCGGTGGTTTCTTCTGCTTTTAGGAACTGGTGTCTGCGATACAGGCTCTAAGGATTCTTTTTATGGATGAGCCTCACGCCTCTACTACCTGGAATATGCACCAGCTTCTTGAAGTAGGTGGTCCACGTGTTGACTGACTGTCTCCATCATGTCTGGCACTGCCCAGGTTTTAGCCCTGGAAGTCCTGGTCAAATCAGGACAGTTGGTCACCAACTACAGCAATCTGCTGAGCTCCAAGGGCTCAAAGCGGGCTCTTAATTGTCACAAAGCATTCAGCTAATTCTACTCAACAAGATAAGCCTAAAAGGGTTGACACTGCACTGTGAAATACGGCTGTAGAAGGGATGAAGGCTGGGCAAGTGACCTGGGACCTAATCCTTTGTCCATCTCCTCTGACACTGTTTATCTCAAAAGTCCAGAACAAAAAGGAGCCAGTCGGAACCCAACACATAACCCCACAAGGTACATGCCACATCCCAAGTGTCCACGGGATGGATACCCGGTGCCTGGCCACATGGTCTGAGAAAGCCTTTGCAATGGAAGGGAAAGACTCTGACTTCTGCCAACACAGACAAACCCGAGATACACAAGTACACATACTTGAATGAGGAATCTAGGGGCTCTGGGAGCAGGGTGTCCCTTTATCCTACAAATCACACCATTTTTGTGGTCTATGTGTACACACCACACACACTCCAACTTAGAAATACTGCAATGTGGGATTCGAAAAACAGCAAAAAAAAAAAAAGTTAATTCAACATCTGGGAACCTTATGATAATATCAGGATTCTGTCTGTAATCTGACACAGCCTCGGCTAAAATGCTTTCCGGCACCTTCCTCTCCAGAGTAACAGGTTGTTTTCCAGTTTCCAGCGGACCATCGCCCCTGCTTCAGATTCTCCACTACAAACAGGTTACGTGGAAACCTAATCATTTTAGTCTTTAACACACACACACACACACACACACACACACACACACGTCAAGTAAGTCATTTAATAACACCAAGCAGCACTAATGGACCACAGGGATGCCCTCCCCTCCCGGCCACACGCCCCGCGCCTCCCCAGCATCTCCGCGGACACTTCCCAGAGTTGGGACCCCGCGCACCTCCCAGGACCCAGGGCACCGGACCGCGCTCACCTTCTGCAGAAATGCCATCCTCGGCCTGTACTGTTGGCCTTGGTGTCGGATCGTCATCCTGGACCCGCGACGAACGCCGAACCAGAACTCGAGCGGACCGCAGCAGGGGAAGCCCCCGGCGAAGGCTCCCGCGCGCCCCGCACACGCCCTGTCGTCCCGGGGGGAAGAGGGCGGCCCGGAGCGCGGGGCGGGGGCGGCTGCTGCCTGCGGCGCCCCTTTCCTCGGCCTCGGCCCCCGCCCCGGGAAAGCCGCTGGCATCCGCGCCAGCCAATCAGCGCGCCGCGCCGCGGGCTCATTAGCATGCGCTGCGCTTGCGCCCACCTGCCGCCCGGGGGCGGTGTTTGGCCCGGGTGGGACCCCGCGGAGCCTCAGGTGAGACCGGCTTGTGGCTGGCGCGCCGCGCGTGGGCGCATCTGTCGCAGATAGTGGCCTTTTCACCTGGGGCAGAAGTCTGTTATGTGCAGAAGTGAGACAAAGCAACCTCACTAATGAGCGTGGTGGGAAAAATGGTCTTTCCCTTCCCAGCTTTGCCACTAGCTAGCTGGGCAAACTTGGGCAAGTTTCTTAAATTCTAAGCCTCAATTTCCTTACCTGAAAGGTAAAAATGAAAAATGGGATGGCCATATCCAACAGACGGGTTGCTATATCATTTAATGGGGAAATGTATAACACAGTGCTCGGTCCTCAGCAAGTGTTTAGCAATGTCTAGGGAAACAAATCATAAGTGGATTGGTGAGGTGTTGGTTAATGAAGGAGGGGAAGGAAGGGGGAAGGGAGACAGGAAAGATGCAGTCACTACTGGGCCAGCTGCCTGATCTAAGCAAGTTATATTTTCCTTCTCTGGTCCTTAGTGTTTTCATATCTAGAAAATGAAAAATGACCTTACTAAGTAATCAGCGAGACTCTTTGTCTGTGAAGCATCTTATTTTTTCATACTAGCTGGATGGCGATCGATTGTGGCAGACAAAATGTTTGAGTTGGAAGGAGAACAATGAGGGGTTTGGCTCAGAAAGGCACACCAATCAATGTCCCTTTAAAGCATGGTTCTTATCCATATTTTTGGTCATACCTGTAAAACGAAAGCTATAGACATTTTCTCAGGAAACATGCTCATGGGCACATGCATGCACATATACACACAACACACACAGTCACACAACACTGACTCAAGTTTGCAAGCAATTTCAAGGGCTTCATGGCTGGTCCCCTCTGAGAGTGGCCCACCACTCCCTTTTGCTTTGGAGAATCCAGGACCCAGTAGGTGTCCATCCATGCAGAAGACCAGAGATCCTACTAAGCAAACCAGGCCACTGTGAACTCTGTTCCTAGTGTGAACTACAACCCAAGAAAAGTGCTGGAATACCCATATCCAAATATGACTTTTTTTTTAATAGAGTGTCTTTTGGGCCTGGACTTATGTAGAACACACATTGAGATATGCTGGAGCAAATGAACTATGAGTTATTTTCCAGCTTCAACATTCCTTGATTCTATAAACCCTAAGCGGAAAAGAGAAAAGTGGCTTTCCTACATAAAATCAAGGATGAGAAAACTTAAATTGTTCAGGAGCAAAAACAGGAAAAATACATGAGATCTTGCTTAATAATCAGAGAGGAGAGACCCCATAATGCCTGCCAATGTCTTCTCCTTCCCTTCTATCAGGCCCTGCCCACGGAGCAACCTTGCTTTGTGGGACCCACCCTCCCTTAGCTCATTGGACCAGGGATGCTGAAGATGTGAGCCGGCAGCCACTCCCTGCTCAGGCTGTGGCCATGATATGGATCTGAAAAGCTTAGATGAGCTTGCTAGACTATTACCTTCACAAAAGTCAACTTGAGCCGGACAGAGGTAAAGTCAGGGCCGGAGGAAGCTGAGGCCAAGTGAAGGTGAAGTTACAAGGCAACAGAAATGAAAGTTGAGCAGAGGAAGCCCATTGGAAAAAAGAAGCAAAGAAACTAAATAGGCTGAGAGCAGAGGAGGGGCCGTGAGGTCCCTAGAGCTAACCTGGCTCCCTGCCTTTCCAAGGGCACGTGCATCTCTACAAATCCTCTCAAGTAACTTCAGTCCTTGTTTCTTGCAACCAAAGGGGCTTAAAACATAATGTGGTGTCAAGACTTTAGTGACAGTGTCCTGAAAAATAGAATTGATTTAATTTGCCTATTCATTTAAACAACAAACTATTGCATGCCAGGCATTGTGCTAGAGCAGTATATGACCCAGTCCCTGTCTCGAGGAGCTCACAGGTTCATGGGGGAGAAGAATACTTGAACAAAAATATGTTATAATTCGAATCTATATATCATGGAGATCCAGTCAATGTAACACAGAACTTTGTAGAAAGGCACCTTATCTAGCCCAAGTGGAAGAGAAAATCAGGGAGACTTCCTGGAAGAGGAGTCCTAAAGGAAAAAGGGATTGCCGCAGGCACATTAGAGAACAGCAAAAGAATATGCATAGAGGCAAGGATTAGCATCATTTGAGGGGGGGTGGCAAGGAATGCATTGGACACAAGGTCTCAGGAGACTGGATAGAGGGAGGTGGGCAGGAATCAGACAATGGTTGGCTTTGGGTCAGGGATTAAATGGAAAGAGGTGTAAAGGAACTTTCTGGAGTGATAGAAATGTTCTGTATCTCAATGAGAATGGTGGTAACACAGGTAAATAAGTTTGTCAAAACTCATCCAACTGTACTCTTAAAATTGGAGCATGGCACGGTCTGTAAACCATACCTCAACAAAAGGATTGACTCCCAAAAGCAAATATTATCTTGCAGCATGATAGAGGGATGTGATACAAAACTGAAATCCTCCCAGGACTCAGGTAAGTGAGCATTCCATCATCATCATTGTCACTATTGTCATCAAAGGCCTCCTCCTCATTAACAAGAGGGTGTCATTCAGACCCTAGATGGGTCATGTTGCCCTGGATACTATTCAGTGTAATCGACATGGGCCTTAACCTTGTCCCCTGTAGGATAAACCTTGTCCAGGCACAATGACGTGGTCATCCATACCGCAGTGTCCTTAAAAACCCAGGTCTAAGGTCATCTCTCAGTAAAATGTCCCTGGCCAGCTCAACAGTTTAGTTCAGTTCACTGCGCTCAGTGCTGAGGAGGTAAGACTTTAGAAAGCCAGGCTCCCAGCTCCCAGACTGGGAGGGGAGACAGATTCTTCAACAGGTCATTCCCACATGATGGGTATATCAGACCACTTCCAGGCAGAGACTTCACAAAGTGTCTTCTTAGAGGTGGGGCAGGATTAAGGGAACCCCTAAAAGAGGTCGAGGCACCCAGAGATTGACAACCATGGAAACCACTGCCATTATCCAGAAACAAAGGGCTGGGGGGCCAGAGCCTTGGTGGAGGGGGCTGCCTTGCAGGGCTGTCATCTTGAAGGGACACAGCCATGGCTAGATAGGATGCCAGAGGAATAAATACTCTGACCTGCTCTCCTCCTGGTGCCTCCCATTGCTCAGTTCTGACCAGAAGCCAGGGGGCAGTGGAGCCTGGGTAATGCACCTGTTAGGGTCAGCCTCCTGGAGCACAGAACCACGCAGACAAGGGCAAAGGATTCGAGAGGTGGGAGGGACACAGAGTAGGTAAACCATAAAGAAGCAGCATGACGTGTTAAATGTCTTTGATAACGCAGAAGCCCAGAGGATCTTTCTCAGAGTTGATCCTGTGTCCCCAAGCACTTTGAACAGCTCAGTAACAGCACCTCCCTACCTACACAGTTGTCTCCCTGACTCAGACAGAAATCACGTGGAACTCATATGACTTCCCGGGCCACTGCCCTTTTCTACCCCTTGTTTGCATTTCATATAATTTTGTCTTGTTTGAATTTGTTACGAGTGTGTATTACATGTGCAATCCTATGCTCATTTAGAGAAAAAAAACTCTTCCATGCATGAATGTTTCTTTCTAGCACCTGCTAGAGAGGCAGTCGCTCATGAAAATGTATTCTGTAGGAAGACCAGAGGGCCTTATGTTCCCACAGTGAGCATACCGGGCCAGAGGGACAGAATCTCTTGGTGCACCCACTGGTCAGCTCTGGTTCCGTAATAAAGCGAAGTGCAGGTGAGGCACACACCCCCTTCCCACCGTACTTTCACCCTCTCCACAAAGAAGCTATGTTAGACCTCAGCAAGCTGGCCACACCTGGTGACCCTGGCTGTTCAGTCTGGGAGAGTGAAAAAAGAAAAAGGACTTGGAACCTTTCTGGGAGGTTCCCTGCCTCTTCCTCATCCAGGGATTTCTCAGAAATTATCTTGGCCCACTAGGGGCCATCAAAAGTACAGTACATCACAAAGTACAGTCCTATGAAAACCCCATCCTTTATCCTTTTTTATCCTAAATTACATTGTCTGGATGCATCCAGAGATCATACTTTTCACGAGGATCACCAGAGATAAACAGGTAAACAGAACAAAACCACACATTGCCCTGCCCCCCCCCCCAACTCTGTGGGGCTGTCTATCTACGGACCGGGTCACACTGGAACTTTCTCAAATGACATCTGCTACTTTCTGGTGAAGGGTGTTATTATTTTACATTATAGAAAATTTGGAACTGTGGAATTTTTAAAAATGACATTAAGAGAAAAGGCATTTTTCACAACTTGAAGTTGGTTTTGGTTTTAAGACAGTGTTGGGGCTAAGGGGAGGTGTGAAGGCCTCAAGGCACAAGATGTGTGTTCTGGGCCCTGCTCTAGTTCTCACAGGATGTGTGATTTTTTGAGACAGCTTTATTGAGGTGTAATTGACATACACCAAAACGCACTATATTTAAAGTGTACAATTTTGTAAGTTTTGATATATGTATACACCCGTGAAAACGCACCCATGATCAAGATAGGGAACCCCCAGAAGTGTCCTTTGTGATCCCTCCCCCTGCTGTCCCTAGGCAACCACCTGTCCCTTTTCTGTCACTATGAATTAGTTGGATCAAGTCACCTAATCTCTAACCAAGTCACCTAATCTCTCCGAGTCACTAGTTTCTTATTAGTAATAAGAAAGTATTGGGTACCTGGGTGGCTCAGTTGGTTAAGCGACTGCCTTCGGCTCAGGTCATGATCCTGGAGTCCTGGAATCGAGTCCCGCATCGGGCTCCCTGCTCAGTGGGGAGTATGCTTCTCCCTCTGACCCTCCGCCC